TAGCAGAAATTTTTAGTGGTTCGTATTCAGAATGATAAACGGGCTGATTCTAATTTAATCAAAAACTAGAACATTGATTCCATATAATCAATTTTTATCATTTTTAAATGAAATATTCAGTGTTGTATAAATTTTGATTTAGTACCTTTTTTAAGTGTTACTTATTTTTTATTTTATAGTAAACTCCTGCATAATTTCATTTATATTATGTACCTATATAGAATTAAGTGATATATACACCTTAAAATTGTGCTGATTTGAATTCTGTAAGTGTTAATTGAATGTGTTCTACTTCTGATAGCTCATGTAGCTAGTTTGGAAAGTTGGCACCTTGGTGTTGAAAATTTCAAAGTTAAAAAAAAAAAAGAACATCAGTTTTGATGAGATGTTCTTTTTTTTTTAAATTAAATAATTATACAGTACCGCTCAAAAGTATCAGTACACCTAGAAACTTATAAAAAAATGGCATAATTCAAAGTGTCATAACTTCTTTAAAAATGATCAAAAATGTTTCTGCTTTAGCTCATTTTGAAGCTTAAAATCTCTACTTTTATGTACTTTAATTGTTTTTAATTAATATATTTTGCAACTATGTACAATTACACTCTAAACAATCATAGAAAATTGTATTAATTTTTTGTGAAGTTTGACGCGATGTACGGGCACAAAGGGGTTAGATATTGTTAATTTTTATTATACCATTGAAAAATTTGGATTTTTAGCTTTCATTTAAAGAAAAAAAATTTCAAAAAAACATGTTTTTTGACGAAGTTATTGTCAAATAAAAGAAAAAGTTTTTTTTCAGAATTTAATGATTTTTCAGCAATTATAATGAATTCCGCACAGGAACTATTTAGGTTCGTCCTCCTACCTTTGGTCTTCGATCCATTAACCAGCATAAATCACATGTGGAAAGTCTTTCAAGAGCAGTGGCGCAAAATAGACAAGATAACATTAAAAAAGCTGATTGATCGGATGCCTCGAGTGTGTGCTGCAGTTATAAAAGCGTGGGGAGGATATTTTGAAGAAAGCAAAATATGATGTAAAATATTTTTTCATTATTACATTTTTGTTTTCAAATTTTTTCTGAGAAAAATACGAAAAAATAAATTTCAAAATATTAAATTGTAAACGTTGATTCTTATTTCATTATTATATTTTCCAAAAAAAAAATTTTAAATTGTTATAATAAATTATGAAATAATATTATCGAGAAAAATTAAATTTTAATTTATTTTAATTAAAAAAATTTCATATCATATTATAATTACACTAAAAATCATTATAATTGCTAAAAAATCATTAAATTCTGTAAAAAACCTTTTTTTTATTTGACAATAACTTCGTCAAAAACATGTTTTTTTTGGAATTTTTTTTTTCAATGAAAGCTAAAAGTCCAAATTTTTCAATGGTATAATAAAAAATAGCAATATCTAACCCCTTTGTGCCCGTACATCGCGTCAAACTGCACAAAAAATTAATACAATTTTCTATGATTGTTTAGAGTGTAATTGAACATAGTTGCACAATATATTAATTAAAAACAATTACAGTACATAAAAGTAGAGACTTTAAGCTTCTAAATGAGCTAAAGAAGAAGCATTTTTGATCATTTTTAAAGAAGTTATGACACTTTGAATTTTGCCATTTTTTTTATAAGTTTCTAGGTGTACTGATACTTTTGAGCGGTACTGTAGTTGAGAATTTGAAATTAGCAGGAAATACAATAACTTTCTTCTCATTTAAGATATTGATTAGTTTTGATGAGAATTTCTCTAATTTTGGTTGGGAATGGTGTGCATAAAGTCATAACCTTAATTTTAAAATAAAAACCCACAAATTTAATATGATACACTTTATTTACAATTTTGAAGTTAAATGCAAAGAATGGATATAGAGTTTTATACATAAAGCATTAGATAAGTATTTTCATAAATGCACGAAAACGAAAATAAGTCATACAAAATATTTAATGAAATATATACAGTAAAATAATAACATATAGAATGTTATTTTGTAGAGGAAACAAGTGACTCAATTTAATTCATGATGTTATTGTTTTGATTTTAAAAATCCTTCCTGCGAAGTAATTAAAAGTTAAATCCTTTATATTAATGTTTATCTCAATTCTGTTTTTTTTTTCTTGTGTGGTGATTTTCCAAAAGTATCTTTGCTAAAATGACATAAACATAAAACCTGATAAAGACCTAATTCTGAAATGATTTGACCCACTTACTACTGTAGCATGTTACAAGAAGTGTGTTACTTAGTGGAAGAATTTTCTTGTTACTTTAGCATGTTACAAGAAAATTCTTCCTCTATGCTTTTCAATTAACATGGATTTAATTATAGTGTTAATTTATTAGTGTTTTTGTATCACTGTCAATCTTAAACATAACCAGAAAGAAAAGACTTAAACTCATCTATTTGTTGATCTTGAAACAGTTGAGTTAGGAATGTATACTTGTAGATTATATATATATATATATATACAGAGATGCCAACTGCTCCGGACACGCCAAAATAATTAGAAAAACGGTAGATAACAACTAAGTAAATTTTGCAAATATTTGACTATTTTTGCTTGCTTTTCAAAAGATATAGTATGACATAAGTGTTATAAAGTGGTGAATTATGTAAGCCAACAAATTATTTAGAAATAGTGGTGGATAGAAATCTACTAAATTGAATTTATTAAACCATGAATCACAGTTGATAAACTACCACTTTAAAATATATATTTGCTGTCCGGAGCAAGTTGGCATCTCTGTATATATATTGTAATACACCTTTTAATGCCAAAATAATAGAATTTTTAATTTATTAATATATATTTTATATACAGTTATATTTTATAAAGTAAATGCGGTGCAACAGGAAATTAATTTTAAGCCTTGTTTACAGCATTTATTCATTACTATTTTAATACAAATTTAAAGATGCCAATTGTTAGTTATTTTATTATTAATTTCCTGAAGCAACTTAATTGAAAATTTTATAACATTTTGAGATGAGTTATTTATTTTTATATTCATGTATTTTTGAAAAAGAAAAGGAATATTAGATTTTGTATACATAGCATAGTTTAATGCTTTTAATAAGTAGTTTATTTATAGGGTTTTTGTTTTATAACATAAAGGGGAAAAAATAGATGCAGTAGTCTTGTGCTACATTGGGTGTTTTTGTAAAGGAAGGAAATAATAATGTGAGGTTTGCTTCATTCTTCATTGGGAACTTAAAATCTCTATTTTCACTAAGTTTCTAAATCAAGTACAATGTTAATTAACAGATGTCATTGCCGATTGACAAAACTATACAACAAAGTTTTCTTCTGCGTGTTAGACAATTGTAATGGAAAATATTTTCATGGATAATTGTTAATATTTAGCCTTTGATTATACTAAGTTGGTTTAGTAAATGATTTTTTTAAAACTTTGTTCATAGCTTCTATTGAGCGACTCCATTCTGTTGGCAAACTTAACTAAATTTGATGTGAGACTTGCTGGGAACTGGAAAAAGCATGATATATTTGAAAATGTAATGTAATTAAGGTTACGTAACGAAGATAAGATAAAAGCTTATTAGTTAGTATAAAATATTATAATAAAATTTTTTTTTTATGAAATTTAAAAAAAAAAATTTTTTTTTGGATGAAAGAGGAATGATCCGAGTTCCTTAATCACCAGTATTTTCTACATTTCACAGGGTGTATATCATTTTTAGAAAGTGCTTAAAGGCGCTTATTTTTTATTTATGTTTTTTTAAAAGCCCTTAAAGGTGCTTTTTTTTATTCGGGATTTGTAAAAAGTACTTAATTTTCTATCTTTTAAAAAGAGATATTTTCTCTGCTGTACCTATTGTCGTTCTAAATTATAAAAAATGCACGTTTTTCACAAGTTTTTCTGTAATATTTATCAGAAACGAGTTATTTTATCATGATTATGTAAAGTTTTTGAATTTGATTTATTTTACATGCATAATTTAAGAACTTTAATCGATAGAAAAAAATAATTTTTATTACTGTCCTTATGATTTTTTTTTTGGAAAGTGATTAAAGATAATTTTTGAGTGCTTAAAAAGTACTTAAAAGGCTCTTATTTTTTGTTGAAAAGTCTGGCTGCGCACCCTGATTTCAGTTTGTTTTCTGTTACTTGATTTTATTTGATGCTTATTATTTTTATTTAAAATTTTGTTGGTTCATTTTTTAAAAAAAAAAAAAACTAATTATAATGTGATTTTGATATACTGTATGAAGTTATTTTTAAACATATAAAAAAAGTTTTCTTATTAAGAAACCCTAATAATTCAGTAGAAGGTTATTACATGCATATCATATGTAATATATCAATTGGGAATTCCAGATTTTTGCTAATATTACCTGGCTAATTGGAGAAAAAAATTCAGTATTTTTTACTCAGTCTGATAATTTTTAAGCTTTTTAAAATCAGCTAATATGCTTTTAAGTAAATTAAGAAGCAGGCAAAGAATTGCTAGAACAAACTAAATTTGCTTAAGATTGTTTCAAAAAACCTCAGGCTATATATTATAATCCTTCAGTACTTGGCGCTCATTGCAAATTAAAATAAATGTATTTTCTAATAAACCTAAAGATATGTGGATTTATTACAGTTAGTCTAAAAAGTGTCAGACTTGTTAAAATATACTTAAGACTTCCAATCAACTTGGCCCGTTGCAAAATGAGGAAAGCTTTTCGCCAAGAGGAGAATTATTCATTTAGCAAACGATATACACATTTCTTTTATGTGATTAATCTAACTTTAATTTTAGCAATAGATTATGTTATTTAACTTTGTTAAGTTTTAATGTTATTGTTTCATTTTAATTTGAAGTGTCACTTGTAAAATCTTTTAAAAAATGTTTTGATATAAGTTGTTCACAGATCTTAAAACCATAAAAGTTTGAACTTGCTGATTATAGCTAACTTGAACTTATAATTTTTTAAAGAAAAAAATTAATAAGGGAACACTGCTGCATTTAAGGAAAATTTTGTTAAATAATTTACTGTTCCGAATAAAAATAATGACAATAAATTAACAGTATAAAAGTCCTTTTTAATGCTTTACAACTGAGATGAATTTGATTTTCCTTATTGTTGCTAAGCAACAAAGTTGTCTGTGGAAAAATCTTCCCTGAACAACATGTGTTCCTTTGTAAGTTATAAAATTAAATAAATTCAAGTACATACTTCATTTAACAAGCAAATTACGTCATAATCTTGTTTTTATGCTGTAATTAATTTGCACACAATATATGCATAAAGCTTTTCCAAATTTTATGGTCCTTGCTTTCTTCATCTCTCTCTCTCTTTTTTTTTTATCCAAACGAAAATTTTTTCGCTGCATCAAACTTAATTATTTATCCATTTCATGTTATACAAATTATTTCTGAATTGGTTTGCATCTGGTGCATCAAATGCTGGAATGGTTGCTAAGCAACTGAGTTGTTTGTGGAAAAAATTTTCCTGAACAGCATGTGTTTAATTGAAAAATTTTAGCACATTTAAGCAAATTACAGCATGATCTGCTTGTTTTAATAACATTTAGTTTTGCAGGGCATTAATACATAAAGCTTTTTCATGGAAACTGTTTTCATGTGAGTCTTGCAGTGTTTGCTTCATTTCAATTTATTGATAGATTTTATCTTCTACAAATTGATTTTTAAATTGTTTCAGACAATTTCATCACGCACTAGATTGTTTTAAAATGGATGATGCAGAAAGTCACAAGTTTGCTTCTTGAACTTGTCTGAATTATATTTTCTTGCAAGACAAAATCTTCTGATGGCTTCAAACTTTGCTTTCTATGTGTTTCAGCTTTCTTCTCCATGGATTTCTTTGGTAAGATTAGAATTATTTGTATATTGAAGTAATATTTCAGACTTTGAAATCTTCTTTTCTTTAAAAGGGGGGAAAAATAGCTGTAAAATTTTTTTGTCTTAACTCCTTTTTGTTAATCAAGCATTTTAAATGTAGTTCTTGATTTATTTCTCCTTCCCAAGCTTCTGTTATAATATTATATGCTTACAGAAAGTACTTGAAGTAGCAGTATTTAAAAATTTATGATGAAAATGAAATTTAGAACATACAACATATTACAACTTATAACACAGTGCTTAAAGTTCAAAAAGTATTTTCTGTCTCCGTTGGGAGTGTATATATTTTCTTCACATTATTTTGTGGTACCAAAGTTTTTCTCTGTATTTGTGACACCAAAGATGAGGTTCAGTTTTTTCTGGATGAAATCAGCTAACAACATATTGGCTTTTACACATTTGTCCAGTGTTTCAGCTGAAAGAGATTACAAAAAGAATGAATTGCTGGTATTTTAAATTAAAATTATTATCAATAATAATAAATAGAGCATCCTGCTATACTAAAGCAGTATTTGGATTACATGATATTGTATATCAGTGATCTTTTAAAATTTAAGTAAAATGTATATTAGGTGTCCCATCACTATGGTAATAGGACATTACTGTTTATGTGAGGGTGACGAAATGTTATATTTTTTTACAAAAACATGCATCTTTTTTACAGGAATAAATTGTCAGATGTGACAAATGAGAAAGACATAGTATGCTTGTAATATCATTGAAGTAAGTGCTTTTTGGAATAAAAATTTTCATATATGCTCTAAATTGCAACTACCGAAAGTAGCATCAACAAAGTAATTAACAAACAGCTAAAACAATGTCAGTTATTGTTAAAAGTTGTCAACGTAAATGGGAAAATAAAGGTGAGAAACAATGCTGGAAAAACCACATTAGCCGAGAGAAAAAAAAAGATGAAAAACAGAACAAGAAGAACCACAGTGGCCAAGCGGGGCAAGAGGAGAAATGCATTTTCACACACTATGAAGAGGTAGTGAGTAACTAATGTCGTTAAGCAGCATTTATTTGAATAAAGCAAGATTCCAGGGCATCAAGAAAAGCTTGTGACTGGGGGGTGGAAATAATTTTGGCAGTGTCGAAATTGAAGATTTCTCGAATTCTAGATAAGGAACACATTATATATGTGCATTAAGTCTAAATTTTAAAGCATGTCTAGTTTGTCCGATGTAGCTAAGGTCGCACTGGCAAGGAATGTGGTTAATGCCCCAGTGATTATCAATGCTAATAAGATCTATAAAAGTCTTAATTTGATTTTGTTAATAGGTCTAAAAATGACTTAAAAACCAAAACAGAAGAGAATATTAGCAATTTAATAAGAAAAGGGAGGGAAAAAAAACAGTAAAGCAACTAGTAGAAAAAGAGGAGTGTTTGAGTTTAGCACAGGATTAACTATAGAAGGGTTAAATCCCTAGTTAGCAGCAAGCCAGAGGAGGAAATTAAGTTAGTAGTTTTTAAAAGAAGAGTCAGAGCAAAGGTTAAGCGTGCAGAAATTTTCTGACAATTAGGTTGATTAGAATTATTATGAATGAGCAAATAGACAGCAAAATGTTTAGGATAAACAGAGGTGGAAAAAGATCAGAATATTTAGATTCAAAAACATGTAAAAAAGGTAAAGTAAAATTAATTTCTACGCCTAAATTAATTGAATGTTGTGGTCTGCTGAATTGTCAACAGAAAGTTACTTTCGAAAGTCAGTCTGCTAAGACAAACGTATCATCAAGATATCTTTTCCATCATAAGAATTTGAAGAATTTAAAAACATTTTTTCTTTCAAAATAATGCATGAATATGTCACAAAGAGTGGGAGAGGGGGAGTTGCCCATGGCTAAACCCTTAATTTATTCATAAAAATTACCATTGAATTGAACAGCAGTTTGAAGAATACTAGAATTGACAAGGGTGATATCTTCAATTGATATTGTATTTGATACGTTTAACATGAAATTTTCAAGCTGATTATTGCTTAACTTGCAAGGAAACTGTACAGGTATAGAAGCATGTGAATAAATTCCGAATCATTCATTTTGAAAAATGCTATTTCCATTTTCTTTCTTTGTTAGAAGTAGCAGGTGGACAAATAAATAAAAAGTAAAATAGTTAAAACTTTGTTTCAATTTGTTTTGATTTGTTTGTTTCATAATAGTATTGTTTGCATACATTAATGTATATACAGAACATGTAATTGTTTTCATGATGTATCGCACTAAACATAATTTGGTTTACATAGAATAATAATGATAGTCCTGCCAATTTCGCATTAACGTGGTTAGACTGTATATAAAGTGAAATAGTAAGTGAGAAAAAAAAATGAAGTTTTTTTTCTCTTAGATAATAAGCTTAGGCTTTTTAATTGTATGGTAAAGTATCTGCTGTGGTGGTAAATTAAATGTGGCTTTGTCCTCATCAGGGTTGGAGTTTTCGCTGGCAAAAAGGGGTTTTTGCCAGGACAATGGCAAAAACCAGCAAAAACTGGTAAAAACCGGCAAAAACCAAATTATCTAAATTGCTGATTAAATATTATTACAAAATACTTGAAACAAATTTAAATCAATCATAATGAATAATAATTTTGATACATTACATGAAAAAATTATTTTTAACATTAATAATTAATATACCTAAGGGTAATAATTTTTAAAAGATTGAAAGTTTTTGATCTCTTTTCATTTTAGAATCCTAAAATAAATGTTTTTTTACAAATAAATATTATTATTTGTATAATACTATTATTTATTATAAAAAATTATTATTTGTACAATAATTAACTACACATGTTGATAGATATTTTATGCTTTAAATTATATTTGTATTAATTTAAAATAAGTTCATTTCACTGGAAAAAAGAGAATAATCACAAATTTTCCAATCAATAATGTTTTAAACTACTAAAATGATACATTATCATTTAATTATGGAATAATAGTTTTGTTAATTTTTTTGTAATTATTTATATTCATAGTATATATTTCAATTTTAGGAATAATTTTGTATCAAAAATGTGTTTTTGTCCTCTCACCTTGGAAAATATAGGTTTTTGCCACTTTGCTTGGCAAAAACCTGTTTTTGCCAGGACGGTTTTTACCGGTATTTACCATGGTTTTTTCCACCTGCGGCAAAATCTTGCCAACCCTGGTCCTCATGTTGCATGAAAATTGTTAACTTACAAAAAAAAAATATTAAAATCCCATTTATTTGCTATTTGTACAGAGAATTGGTGGTCCAGATTTTCTTGCAGGTTAATGTCTCAGTTTACATTGAAAAATCTTTCGCTAGGTGCTTGTCATTTATAACCTGTTTTTTTCCCTTATCCTTATGCCAAAAAAAGGGCAGTTTCAGTCTATGACGGAATTAAAGGCTACCATCATTGAAACCTGGCATTGATGGTACTGTCAAGCTGTATCACATATTTCAAGTTATATAGAAACGAAGTTTGCACGAAGTTTGGCTGCACTTAGAAGTGGCTTTATTTCGATGGGACACTTTTTTCCCTCCTTTTTCACTTATTCGATTATTTTTCCTGTCCAGGTGGAAGAGGGACTCCTTGTAGATATGTGTTTGGAAATCGACATACTTGTCATACATGTTTGGCTCACATTGGTTTACTTTACATCCAATTATGACACAAAATCAAGGTTGGCATTATTTAAGTGGAACACACTCTATTACTTATTGTCTAAAGAAACATTTTGTACTTGGTTATGAAATCTACTCTAGGGAAATTAAAGTGTTAATTGAACAAGTTTTAAAAATTGGATAAAAATTAATGTTTAATTAATATTATTCTAATGATTTGCTGTACTAATGTTTCATATAAAATGGATTAATTTTAAATTTATCTAAACTTTATTCTGATCTTTAAGATATGAAGGGCTTCTAGCAAGATAATGATACATCATATTTTTTTTACAATAGTAAGATTTTTATTTCAAACTGTCTCTTTGTATAAGTATTGTAAGTGTTGTGACTCAAACGATATTTATTTTGTATTTCCATGACAACGAGATATATAATGTTTGGTAATCTGGCAATAAGAAAATTGTTGTGTTCTAAATTTACGTTGCGTTAAAGAATTACGTTAAAAATTGGTTACTCTCTGGAAATATGTGTTTACGTTCTTTATAATTTATTAACTCTTCTGTAAATAGCATTCATGTGCCATCTTATATGTTTTAATAAACCATTGGGAAACGTATATCAGCTTCTTAGTTAGAACAGTAAGCTTCCCAAATTTCCACTAGATTCAGCACAATCCACTGAAACATCTTATTGTGAAATTATGTTTTTCATTTAAAAAAATGCTCTCTTGTACAAATTTTAAAATGTGGCTTACACATGTTACCTCATGTCTTCTCTGAAATCTGTATTATCGCTTTCATTTTTTTTTCTAAAGTCATAGTTTCAATACTAAAGTACCACCATCATGGCCTAGGTGGAGGATGGACAGAAAAATACTATTGAAGCAATAGAAAATTATCTTTCCAAGTGTTTGGAAATGTATTCTACATTTATATCTTATGAACAAAATGTCCAGAAATTATTAGGTTGATGAGCTTCTTATTCTTGACACACCTCAATGTGTGTGTTTAAGGAAATAGCTCAAAAAGTACATTTAAGAAAAGAAACTTTCAAACTTTTCTATATGAAATTTGTTTTTTTTTTTTAAAGAATAAATGTGATAGATCCAAATAAATTCGAATAATCCAAATCACTTTGTGCATTTTTTAAGAGTATTTAAAGTTACCAGTTGATTTTACTAGATTGTCAAGGTTCCTATATATATATATAATAGTGATAATAAATTAACGCTGTATGAATTAAAATTTTTTATCAGAAAAATTTTTTATCAGAAGAGATGATCAGAAAAACAACCTAATCTGGGGTGGGATTGGCAGTAACCCTGCCAATCCCACCCCAGTTCAGGACTTTGCCCTGAAATAATTATGGCTTGCTTTTAAAAAGAGTAAAGTAAGAAATTCCTCGTTTAGTTGTTTAACCCAAATTTAATATAATGTGTCCATTTTGTTAAACTTTGTTCGGAATAAAACGCTCAAAGGCTATTACTTTGTGATAAGTACTGACTTTAATGTTGCTGATTTTTACACACTGCACTATCTCTATTATGTTTAAATTATCTCTGTCCTACACTTTAAGTGCATTCCAGTTTAATACTCTCCCAACTCGTAATATAGTTTTAGTCGAATAAACAAATAAAGGATTTATATCTAAATTAAAAACTAAAATAATTTTAGGTAATCAATACTGATTAGATATAAAAACAAAGATTTCTGAATTAGCGTGCCTCTTTTTTAAAATAATTTAATAACCTCCATTAAAAAAAAAATTTGAATCAAGCAAGTTAAAAATTGCACTTAGAGTTTGACTTACAATAGCACATGTAATAAATATTTTTGGCTTGTACTTGTCTCAATTGCTATAATTACTTGCATTTTCCCTCATGATATCATTTCTAAGCACAAACTTATGTCTTTGTCTAAAACAGTTTGGTGAAATAAAAAATTGCAGTAGAACTGGTAAGTCCTTTTGGCATGTTCTTGTGCAGAATTGAATTTGTGTTTTGATATGTCATACATAATCTAACTACTGTACTGTGATATGTACAAGCAACAGATGTTATTGTACACAGAAATTATAATAATTTTGGCCCAGCTTATTCTATGGGAATAATATATCTTGCTTTTTTCTGAAATGGCTTTGTAAATTCTTTACAATACTTGTATAGAGGTAAAATGAACACAAGAGTTCCTGATATAAACATCTACAATTCTGTTTGTTTAAAAATCTTGTACTTACCTTAAATCTGGTTATAGTTCCTGACTCTTTGAATTTTTTTCTTTCAGGATACGGAGTGATAGAGTATGCTATTCTCTACAAATGAAGAAGAATTATTAATTCATTCAACCACTATTTTCTATTTTAACTCTTTGACCCAGAATTTTTATTGAACATATTTTTCTTACTTTTTTAATAAATTAGGTCAAATATGTGAAAATATTATTTAGAATTTTAATAATTTATGGTAATAAAGTACAGCATGAAACACTGGTTGCCTTTTTCTGCATTGAAATTAAAATCTTCCAAATATAGCTAATTTAAAAAATAATATAATAATAATTAAGTTACGAAACCAGACACAATAACGTACTTTCGCTGAATAAACACACCTTTTTTTCCGATTGATTCGGATTTCTGACCCCTTATATATAGGGGGTAGCCGCCATTTCGGGAATATGGTCCCAATAGTTTAGTCAGGAGAGTGATCCAAAGTTTGGACTCCTTAATGTTAATTTTAATTTTTACGTATTTCGTTATAAGAAATTTTTATAATCAAATTGAAAAATTTTTGCAAACAATTATAAAATTTGTTTATCCAAGAATAATTCCAATGCAAAAAATAAATTTTACTAAATATTTTTTTATTATTTAAGAATGGTCGGAAAAAAAATTTAAATTGTGAAGTATACAATTTTTTACATGAATTTAAAGAATGTAATTTTGTGTAGCAAAATCGGTCGAATAATTTCTGAGAGATAGAATTTCAAAAAAGTCAAATACTTAAAATTCAATTTTTCAATAACTATTCAACTGATTTAGCTCAAATTTTGTATTTTGCTAATATAAAATTACATTATTTAAAATGATGCAAAAAATTGTATACCTTACAATTCATAATTTTTTCAACCATTCTTGAATGAAATAAAAAAATTTTACTAAAATTTATTTTTTGCATTGGAATTATCCTTGGATAAACGAATTTTATAATTGTGTGTTAAAATTTTTCAACTCAATTAAAAAGTTCTCGAGATATAGCGAAATAAGCGAAAACTAAAATTAACTTTAAGGGGTCCAAACTTTGAAGCGATCTCTTGACCAAACTATTGGGATCATAATTCCCAGATTGTGGTTACCCCCTATATTTTGGGGGTCAGAAATCATAATCCGTCAGGAAAAAAAGACATGTTTATTCAGAGAAATTTCGTTTTTTTTTTGTCTGATTTCGTAACTTAAAATATCGTCTGCATTAATTAAACAGCACATTTCAGGTCTCCCCTTCGAACCAGTAAGATTGAGTCATAGAACGCAAAGAGTCGATAATTAGATGTTATTCAGGGCGGTTCGTTTCTTTTTTTTTCAAACCATTATAGAAAAGCGTATGCACAAATATTGCATCGTTAAGCTGTGACGGCTCAAGGGATAGAGCTTTCGCTTTCTAATTAGGTGAACTGGGTTCGAATCCTAGCATTGACTGTGAATTCCGCATCCGACTTGCACCGACCACAGTGCTGACATCAAAATATCCTCAGTGGTAGACGAATCATGGGTTAGAGGCCCCTTGCCATCAGGCTAACCGTTTGAGTTAGTTCCATCAAGAACTCCACGAAGGAAATTTTTTCCCAATACTTGATCCAGGAGTTCTCTTGTCTTCTGGATTGGGTTCAAAATTTCAAGGCTACGGCGTTGAAAATTAGTCGTAAACCCAAAAATATGACCAGCTGTTCAAAGACGGTTATGAAATAAATTAGGAAATACTTCATCGTTGCTTTTCCGTTTGCAGCCCCCACACACGCTAAAATGCCGCAGTAAGGCGTTGTGTGTATATGCTAACATATAATCCTATTATATCTTAGCATATCTTTCAATCTTAGCTCGACATGCTAAGATGGAATCCTTAAATTTAGTTCAACGTGCAGGGTCGCCCGACTATGATGAACTTGGGTCCTGGGTTAAAACTTAGGGCTAGTGCCCTTTTTAGAAATGTTATGTTTTTAATTTTGATAGTCAAACAGCCACACTTTCCAAAATATTATGGAACATCTTTGAGATAAACTAGGTTAATTTACCACTGATTCGTGTTTTTTTTTTTTTTTTTTTGTAAATAGTCCTGCAATAATATACCATTAAATCTGGTCCATTTTTATGGTCACTCTCAACAATATTTAAAATTAAATATAAGTAATACAACCTACCTCTGAGCAAGTACCCTTTGCCTTACAAAGTTTATAGCATGCATATCCGGGTACCATCGCTACTGAAGATAGAGCAAAGCCCCATCCTAATGCTACAGCCCATCCTGGATAGAGATAGTTGTTATACTTCAGAGGTGGGTTATTGATGATGGCCGACACAATTACTGCCTGTGAATCAAAATATTAGGAGGCATTTTATTTTCAAATACAATAGAACATCATAAATTTGGATAAACTCTTGCTTAGTGCCTATTGGTAATATATAGTATTCGCCGTTCTAGATGGTAAATTTTAGTCAGCATAGCAGACAGAATTAGTTCCTCCTAGATTTAGGATTAAGGCTTATTTTTTTAAAAAAATTGATTTTAGTCATTTTATGCTTTTTTTTTCTTTCCATGATAGGATTGATTTTATTCTTATATTTTTATTTACATTTATCTTTTTTCTTTTAAATGTACAACAGTCCCTGTTTAAATTATTAGACGCACTGTAAGATTCTATGTAAGATCTTAATTATCAGGTGATACTATACAGCTTTATAGACAGGGACAGTGATGACGTATTTCATGACGTCAAACGACGCGTCCTTCCAATCTCCGTTCCAAACATTCTGTTGAACGATCCATTTAAATGGCATTTCCTATGTTAATTTAAGACGGCAAGATTTTTAGTTGTTTATTGACATAAATAAAATTATTTAGCGCTTTTAAGAGACTTATTCCTAATTTATGTAGTTTTCTTTATACGGGGTATCAGTAGGTTTTACGAGTTAAGTGCATTAAATGCTATAAAAAAAGTTTCAAAATGGTCAAGTTATCTTTAATTTTGATGTATAAAAATTTAAGCGTCAATATTTTTAACTCTTGTTTCATGTTTATAATAATGTCTTATTTTATTTAGAATTTGTTACATATTCTTTATCTACATCTAATTTTTTTCTTTAGTTATGGATAGGCATGCATTGTTTTTAAAAACGTTTTGTAATTTTTAATCTATAATTAGATTGTATTTATCAATACTAATGTCTGTTTATTTAATTAAGTCTGATGATTAAATTTGTAGTTATTGTAAACTTTGTTTGCTTAAGATTTTCTGATTATTGCTGCTAATTCTCATTAGCTTTAGTTTTTAACTATTAAATAGGAATAAATTATGTTACTAACTTATTGTTAAATGTGCAGAGTTTTAGTTTAAACTGAGATTTATTTTGACTTGAGATTTTTTCTTGTTATATTTGTCAACATCATCATTAAATAGTTTTTAACAATAATTTTATGCATTAATTTTTTGAGAAAATTAAGATACCTTATTATTAGATAATTAATATTAGATTATTCTTAACGTTACTAGTGTAGTGCTAAGTTAATGTGTAGTGTTATGATAGTGCAGTGTAGTGTTATGTTAAAAGGGTCAATACTATGTTTAGTTTCCAGAATTTTAATATATAGAATAGCTAAATTATTTTAAAATTTTTTTTAATTTTCATTTTAAAATGCGAGAGGAACAATTTTTGTAGGTGTTATATATGAATTTATCTTAAAATCTCAGATTCCTATTTTATTCGATAAGAAAGTGCAACATGAATTTTTTAGAATTCTTTAAAACATACTTATCCCATACAGAAACTTTTATTTAACATTCATATTTATTAATCTATGTATTCACATAGGTGTTTAAATTTTACTTATTTAATAATATTAATTTCGCATGCATTTCAAATAAATATAATTCAAATTTTTAAGAAATTTTTTAATTTAGAAACTTAACTCTTTAATGCATGTATACATATTTAGTTATACAGCTTTTATATTTGGCAAATGTTACTGTTATCACTTTTTAGAGAATAAAATTTGCATTTAACAGTCTAAATCAAAATTTTTTAAATTACCTTCATAGTAATATTTTATTTGTTACAGTGAACGTAATATTCAAGTCATCCAAATTTATTTCATAATTTGGTTGTAAATATGTTTTAAGATCTGTCAACGTCTGTGTTAAGATCTTGTTTACATAATATCTTTTTTTTACTTCCTATCATTTTAGCTCAAATTTATTGGTAAATTTACTATTTTAAAAACGTGTATCTTAAATGCTTTATAATTTTCACTAACTTATCTGACTTTATTCATGCTCCTTACATAACTTTTTAATTTGTTTTTAAATTTTCATTATTATTTACAATTAATAAGTTGTCTCAATATTATAAAAAAAAATTGATTTAATATAATATACATATTTTAAGAAAAATTAAACATAAATTAGAAATAACATTTTTCAAATAATAAGATTCACAAATTTCCGATTTCCAGATTATAACTACAATTTATATGGTAAATATTAAATACTAATTCTCCCAATCATACATACAAAAAGTTTTCATAATCATTTACAATTAATAAGCTACTCCAATTAATATCATAAAAAGAGATTAACGTAATATTAATATATGCAACACTTTTTCTTGCCATTTCAGTGGTTAAATTCGACTCTATATTAATATATTCAAAGATTTAGTTGACCCACTTTTAACTACATGAGAAACGCCATATTGTTTGCTCCGTTCGAAACTTTGTTTGGAACGGGGAGAGCTAGTGACGTCGTTGATGACGTAGGACTAACCCTGTCTATTGCTTTTACGTCGCTGAAACCGGTTTGCACTTGTTTACATTCGTGTGTCAATTGATTAATATTGTAATGCAATACGTTAAAAATAAATACAGATAGGAAGTATATAAAAAATCTGAATAAAAACCCATTATTATTATATGTTTATTATTATTATTATATTATATGTTTTTATATTATTATTATTATATTATATGTATATTATTATTATATGTTTAAATATAAAAGTATTGCGCACAAACTCTTGCAAAACATGCAATTATTAAAAAACCACAGTGCGTCTAATAATTTGGTCTAATTATAATATAATAAATATTCTATATTTATATAACATATAGTGTAATTTATCCAATCATCGAATTGATATTATATATCGTCCAATTTAACCAATTAATACACAAACGTAAACAAGTGCAAACCGGTTTCAGTCGCGTAAAAACAATAAATCTATATAGTATCACCTGTTAATTAAGATCTTACTTAGAATCTTATACTGCGTCTAATAATTGGGCGAGGGACTGAATGTAATATTTTCCTTTATTTTAATTCACGAATTAAAATGAAAGTATAATAAATAACAAGTATAAGTATGCCTGCTTGTACTTGTTATTTATGGAACAATATTAAAAAAAAATCTTTTAAAGGGAAACTCATCCAAAGCAAATTCTTTTTGCACATTTGGTAAACTTTAAATGTGTAAAATAACGTGAAGCAGGTCATTTGTAGCAGCCAATCGAGTTGTCTGCAAATGTTCATCATTTTGCTTTTAAATTTTTTTTTAAGTAGAGGAGAGAGAAAAAATTACAAATAATATTTAATTAAGGAATGAAGATTATTCATCGTTTTATAATTAATAATCTTAAATTTGGTTTTATGCCCTACAGTTAAATTTGCGGTCCTTGTGCTATATGTCCAGTCTAGTTATGCATTTGTTTCTGGTAGACATAAGCTGAAAATGATTAAAATAAGTCGAATTATTGTTTACTTCAAAATGAAAACTTAAAAAGAACTGGTTTTTATGGAAACATATTTCTTTATTAAATATTTTGATTTGAAAAATGCAGTAAGAAATATTAGTGGAATCTTTCATAAATGTGTTTTTTTTTTTTTTTTTTTTTTTTTTTTNTTTTTTTTTTTTTTTTTTTTTTAATAATATTTTCAATGTATTGTAAAATTTTACTGTATTTTCCTATAAAAAAATGCCATTTTTATTTCAGTGGCATTTTACTTGAAATAATTTCTTAAAGGCAACAGTAAGATTGAATGAATTATAGGTTGGATTCAAATATAATTAGACGTTTTAAAACTCATCACTGGTTATAAAAAGTGCTAATTCGTGGAACCCTTTTTACTTTTCCGTATAATATTAGGGTTCCACGGAGCGCACCATTTGGGAACCGCTGGTGTACAGCATTACTTTTTACAGCATGTTTAGAATGACTTTAAATTGTGCGTTGATTGTACTGTACGACATTTGTACTTAGAATGTGCCAGAGTGTATTAATATTAGACTATTAAGCATTATTAATAGTCATCGAAAGACAAATTGGATTTTGTTGTTAGGAACGGAAATTATTCAATAATACAATAATTATTATCTTTTTTATTAAAACGATATTAGTTTCAAATTCTCTTTACAGTCTTTATAACTTGAAATATTTTCACTTATTTTTTTATAGAAAATTCAAGATGTTTAAGCGATTATTAAGAACATCTCTAACTGACAAAAAAAATTTATAGTATAAGTTTCAAATTTCTTTAAAAGCTAAATTGAAAGACACAGATAATTTTTCAACTCTATAAATCATTAAATAAATGATCTCAAGAAACTGAAGCGGTAAGCGCTTTTTTATATATATGTATTTTAAATCACTTTTGTTTCTTCTCATTCACAACTTGAAAAGAGGCGCCTATTCTTAAAACGCTTGAAACATGTCGACTGGTTACTTACTATTTGTATATTTTTGAAACGAATGATTTGTTTAATCAGGTAACGATAAATCATATTTAATATTTTAAAAATATCTCATTTTATAAATTGTTAACCAAGTTCCAAGTGTTACCAGAAATATTGACAAAGCATACCATTGTTACACACAGGGCGTTGCCTGCCGAACAGAAGCAACATTGTTTTTTTTTGGCTGTTCATTTTAAATAAGACAGTATAACGCGTAACAGTTAAATTCCTGATCTAGCTCAGCCTTGAATCATATAATTAAAATCAAATTCTTTGTTCGAGACTGAAAGGAGCGGAAGGTTAAAAGAGCCGAAGTAATTCTTAGAATTTATTAAGTTTTTCTAATTGGCAACATTATTTAAATCGGTAACATCAAAAGGCTTCCGTCAGAAGTAACAAAAATATACCTCATAGGCCTATATATCAGTCTACATCTTGTTCGCACGGCAATTGTTGAAACAGTTAATCATTATCTACAGAGTATTGCTCCTGATTATCCTTCACTTCAAAGTGAAGTGATTTGTTTAATTTTATATACCAAGTTGAGATATTACTTTAAATGTATAAGATATTTTTCCTTTTTGTCGGCTGAATAAGACGAAAAACTAAATTAGATCTCGTCCTTTTTTCCCTATTCGGAATTTTCAAGCGATTTTGCGAAAGGTTTTGATAAATATACTTAGAACCCTTGTTAAAAATAATTTTTTTTTTTAAAAAAAAGCTATCACATTGTGCGTCGCAATTTTTTTTTCTAAAATTTTAATCAAATTAAGTTTGTCAAATTAAGTTAAATGGGATTTTAAGCTAAATTAATTTAATTGGATTTTAAGCTAAATTTTTAATTTGTGTTTTCTTGTTACTTTTTTGCACCTAACAAACTTTTGTTACATAGTATAATTAAAAAAGCATAATACCTAAAAAAAAAGGTAAAAAAATAAAAGGGTCGCTTTATTGACCCCTTAACGATCGGTTAATTTTCAAGAAAACGGTCATAAAAGTGGCTATTTTTTATTAGTGCTATTTGATTAGTGCTGACATCTAGTTTAAAATAAACTAACTATCTACAATTATTTTAAAAATATCCTGGTACTGCCTTCTGGGGTGTAAAATGAGAAATAAAATGTTTTCTGGGCAAAAGAAATGAATTAGTTTTATTCTTATTGGCGCGTAACTACTGAGCACTCCAGCACGGAAATATAACGGGAGCGAGAAATAGAGGGCGAAACCTCACCTCGTCATTTTCACGGGAGCGAGAAGAAAGGGGTTAATAGATTAGGAGAATTAACTTCGATTAAATATTATGAGTCTCTTAAGAGCCAGACCTCTTTATGTGCAATTCCTTGGGCTCTGCCATCTGTAAGTTTAGAATGAGTAAAAAACGTAATTGATGATACTTAATGGGAAGGTTATATACGATAGAAAAACAAGAAGGTCACGTGGTAAAAGAAATTTCTTATGAAGTGAAAAAACTTTTATATAATGAAATTATGCCTTTTGTGGTATTGAGTAAATAATGTAAAACTACTCGCTTCGCAGTTTTCAGAATTTTTTTAAAATCTAATTTTATAACAGCTTAAACTGACAAAAACCAAATAGATATTTATCGATAACTCTAAACTAAAAACAGGCAATTGTTTGCTATCTAACTACCTATCAGAAACTAATGATTGCAGAATTGTATTGACATAATTTTGTCACAAAATATTAATATAGAATCTAAAATAGCGCACGCTTTAAATCTCAAATTGCGATTGGATGGCTGGCGGCCTGGCATTTTACATGTATCGGAAGATACTGCCACAAATAGAGTTAATATTCATCATCAGTTTTAGTTGTGAAAATGAAATAAAAAGCATTAAAATAATCTTCGATAGTTTAGTTCGATCGAGAGAGGAAGGGCCTCTTAATAACGAAGAGGAGACGAGATGACAATCAAAGTTGAATTGATGCTTTTAATTCGTCCTTCTCTGAATCTTGATTTGGCAAATTATGATCATTATTTCGTATTTTCCTCATTCCAATACTAATTTGCTTTTGAAAAAGCTGTTGTCCTATGTGACTCAAGAGCTGCTTTGCTTGCCATTGCATCCTTAAATAATCCCTTAACTCGAGACATTTTGGATTGTCGCCTCCAACTTGAATACCTAGCATCCCTTAAGAAAACCATTGTTCTCCAGTGGGTTCCTGCCCATTGCGGGGTTACGGGTAATGAAAGTGCAGACTACTTAGCAAAAAAGGGGGCCTTAATTATTCAGGCTTCTGCGCACATTATGCCCTTCTGTTCCATCCAACAGCCTATTAAGAGGACCTTTCAGACCTGTGCTCATGAAGAACTTATCGACCGTACTTCTACTAAGTCTTGGAGGGCTTACATCCTAAATTTGCGAAATGGCCCAAGACGAAAAGCGGTGGCTGAATTCCGCTTGGCCACCGGTCATGACTGTCTGCGGAAACATCTGTCTAGATTTGGTATCGTTCCTTCCCCGGTATGCACTCTTTGCAGTTCTGTTGAGGACATGGACTCCACGCACCTTCTCCGCTGCGCTGCACTTTGCAGGAATTCTATCAACAACCGCTATTGGGAAGCTAGAGACATGTTCTGATTAATAGACTGTTGCAGCATCTTTTGTTTCTGTTCTTATTTTTAGATGTTTATGTATGCTGTTACTGTCTGTAATCTGCCATTGGAAATAAAATAAAATAATAATACTAATTTGCCGCCCTTAATGTGCATATTTTTTAAACTTCTCTTTTAACAAGGATTCTAAAAATATATATATTAGGATCGTGCAACACTCTTCTAACAAAAAATTTAGAAATTGTGGCAGCATTGTTTTCTAATAGTTAGAGACCTTAAAAAGAAAAAACAAGAATTATAATATTTTGAAATAAACTGAGAAGGAATTTGTGTAAATCATTTTCTGGTCTTATAATGTTTGTCATTTTCTTAAAAAACTTTTAAAACTCCCTAATTTTTGTAAAGATTACCAAAAATTTAAAATACGAGGTTCAAGAAAGTAATATATTCCGGCGTATAAGTCGACCACCTATTTTTGACTGCAAGTTAGCAAATTACTGGTATGCCGTGGTGCATATAAGTTGACCTCTGTCGATAAGTCGTCCCGCAGTGGACTGATCGTTAAGACACGGTTCCCAGCAGATCGCCGAAGTCAAGCATCACTGGCTGCGGGTAGGTGACCACTTGGATCAGTCTACGTAGGGACCGAGGGTGTGCGGTATGGGTCCTCGTTAAGCTGTTCTATCGTAAAGTGCTCGACTTCGCGTGCAGGTCGTCGGGCTACCGAAACGGGGGTGTCATCCCCTCTGCAGAGGATCAAAATTGTGATGGCATGTCTTCGGATCATCCTCAGGGATGCTTCCCAGACCGTCGCCAATAGCCCATTGTGCAGCTCTAGTGCGACGTAAATCAACTACAAATACAAAATACTGTGGATAAGTCAATTATTATTCCTATGGACGTCATGTGCCAAATGATGCAAGACGAGTGCTGAAGTGTAGATTCAAATATTTATGCAAAATCTTTTAAAAAGTGTGGAATTTCGAATTCTTTGGAGAGGGGTGAAGACAATTTTTTGTGGAACTTTGCAGATGAGATGAAGTAGAATCCATTTCAGGAGATCTGTATGACGACACTGCTAACGCTACTGTATCCAACACAGATGATGTTCTGGAATCTTTAAATTTGTAGTTTTATGTTTTAAACGTTTTCATTGCGTTATATTTTTGAGACACCTTTGAATAAATTAACTTTTCCTATTTTTACTTTTTTACTGAACATAATTGAAAGTATTGCTCCTAAAAAAACAATCTTGACATGTAAACAAAATGCAAAATTAATTGTACAGTGCGCAAAATAAAAAAAAATGGACCACTCTAAATAACTTTTGATCTAATGATCGGATCTTCAAGTTCTAGAACTCAATCTTAATGATTCGAGGGGTTGACCTGAAATATAATTAATTAGGGCAGACGATATTTTAAGTTACGAAATCAGACACAATTCAAAATTCTTTCGACCATTATTAAATAAAAAATAATAAATATTTACTTTGCATCTGGCAGGGAATTATCTTTGGATAAGCAAATTTTATAATTGCGTGCAAAACTTTTTCGATTCGCTTAAAACGTTCCAGAGATATGACGAAATTAGCGAACAATAAAATTAGCATTAAAGGATCTAAATTATGAACTGCTCTGCTGGCCAAACTATGGGAACCATATTTCCCAGATTTCGAATCAGTCGAAAAATGGGTATGTTTATTCCAAGAAAGTAGGTTTTTGTGTCTGATTTCGTAATTTAAAATATCACCTGCACTTATTAATTAGCATATTTAAGATCACCCCCTCAAACATTTAAGATAGATTCCAAGAACCTGAAGATTCAGGGTGTTCCGTTTTTTTTATTTTGCGCACTTTACATAACATATTAAAAAAAAATGAAATGGATAATTAAAAATCGCGATTTCTTTTAAATCTATATACGATGTTAGATACTTACAATTAAGAAGGCAGGACTGATGAATTTCCAGCATAGTCTCCAGTACAGACCAGGTTTATGACCTAGCATTTCTTTCACATTCTCACTAAATGGCCCAATACCTAAAAAGATATCAAGATTAAAAATTATAAAGGGTGTTACCCTGAACATCATAAAAAATAGTCAAAATTTGACGAATCGATATTGAAGATATTCACAGCTGACAATGTCATTTTAATCAAAACATAAGTGATATGGGAAAAAAAACATTAAAATTTGTCGAGGCAATGTAGAAGACTTTCACAATTGGTAATGTTAGTTGAACTGAAACATAAGTGACAAGGATTAGACTCTCTAAAATCGATGAGAAGACATCCAGAAAAAAATTGAAATTACGATCATCAAAACTTTTTTCTTAGTTGAATGAAATAGAAAGACATTTCTAGTGAATGTTTATTCCTGTTTAGCTGTTCACCATTTAAATGCAAAATTCAGTAAATGTCAATTTCCTACGCAGTCGATCTGATGAATGTCCGAAATTCAGTCATTAATATAATTTTTTTCGCTCCTGTAAATTATAAAATACTGGAAATTGAAGAAATTCATCAATGAATCCTGATTAAGGCTGTTTTCCGAAGGATCCTTCGTAATATGAAATGATGCTTTTTTGCAAATAATATGCTTATTTTTATGACTGGGGTGAGTTTCAAAATTGTTACACATGACTGTTTGGTCAAGTTTAGCCTATCTAAATCCAGCGCTGTCGTCGCTTGTATTTAAAATAGCGCAAAACCCAAATATGGAGAAAAGCCACAGGGAAAGCATTTGTGGTCTAATTTTTAAATATCCAATGCGACATTTCTGGGGCACATAAAAATTCGCAAAAACTGAAAATAAGGCAGTGATTTTTGATAGTCTTCAGTCTAGGTGAAAGAATGTCTCCAAATTGGCGATTTTTAAAAAAGTTTAATAACTTTTAAAATAAAAGTTATTTGTCTGTTCTGCATACTAGATATTTTTTCACTGCAAGATTATATATTTATAGTTTAAAATCGTAATTATCGTGTAGCTTCAAGTGTAAGGGACTTGAACTATGGCTTTTTTTTATTTTTCTTGGCGACAGAGCTTCGAAAAAGAGCTTAAGAAAAGTTCATTTATTGCATTTTCTGTTACAAACCTACAATCATTGTATTCTACATATGGTTACTTGTCGATAAAAAGCACCACAACAGCAGTATAATTTCGCACCAATTTTTTTGTATAAGTTTGAAGTTCAATTCATTTAGTTAAACGTTGAACCATGTCTTTAAATGCATATATCTTATTTCCTTTTAAGTGTCCATTGGTTTGGAGATAATTTTCGTTCAGTTTTGCATCAACCCCGTTTCTGGCTACCATGACAGTCTGTGCTGTCTTTGCTTTCAATAACGCCACTTTCGGGCTACCCAGGGCCGGATTAACCTATAGGCACACTAGGCACGTGCCTAGGGCCTACGAAATTCAGGGGCGTACGAAAAACTTGGGAGAAAAAAAAATTTTTGACAAAAATAATTTAGCTTTAAAAACAACAAGTGTATTTTGCACAAAATTATGAAGATACAAATAAAAATATAATATTTTTCGGTAATAAATTATTTTGCAGAATCTTATGATCTGATATATTACTTTTTTTGCGATTTTTGGATTCAACGAAATCTTGTATTATGCTATCGAATTCCAAACTACGCAAAATGTCGTATTCAATAGACATAAGTGCGAGCGATGCCAAACGATCTTGATTCATTGTTGAACGCAAATAATTTTTTATCAATTTCAATCTGGAGAAGGATCTTTCTCCTTCTGCATTTGATCCAAGAATCGACAAATATATTCTTAATGCAATGTGAACGTTAGGAAAAGTATTCACAAGTTTATCTTTAATTTGAGCCTTCAACATTTCTTGTGCAGATTTATGTTCATACAAATTTGAAAATAGTAAAAATTCATCTACAAAGTTTTCCTCTAAATCGGATGAGTAAATTTTCACCAAATTTTGCGCTTCTAGTTTAATCTCAGATTCTGACAAAATTTTGTGAACAAGAAAACCGAAATTATCTTACGAATCACTGTAAGCTTTACGCCTTTTAGTCATTTCTGAAAATACATCTAAAATGGCGTAAATATTTCTTGTAATTAATCTCACTGTTTTCTTTGCTGGTTTGTTGTTGTATTGTTGACGTGAAGTGTTTACATAGTTATCGATCGAACTAATCATAATGGTATTATCGATATCAACTGCAATATCGGCAGTATGTCGGTAATGTGTCCAAAAACGGCTATGCCTAGGGCCTACGAAAGGTATAAACCGTCTCTGGGGCTACCATAACAGTCTGTGCTGTCTTTGTTTCAATAGCGCTACTTTCGGGCTACCACAACTTTTGTTTAGAGTAACGAGACTGGTTTTTGGTTTATTTTCACATGTACTAGCTTATTTTATAATCCAAATTTGAGTGGGGTCTACGATTCTAAACTATTACCAGAAAATATTTTATTCAGCGTTCACTATACAGAATGTCGAGTTTTGCTGGAATAGGGAAATAAAAAAAAATTACATTCATCGTCCACGAAAGTGACTATGTAAATAAATGACGTTTCACTTGAAGATAACGATATTCACTAATTTCTGTCTTTCGAAGTAGTATAGACGTTTAAGACTGTTAATCGTGGAATATGGTTATACTTACCATACAGCCAAGCTACTCCAATAGCTTCAAACAGAGCAGAGAATAACAATGATATACTTGCGGAATAACTATCGAACCAATGCATGGTATAACCACCTCCCTGTAATACATGAAAGTGGCGGATTAGTTTTGATTTTATAATCAATAGAAAGAGGTTACAAATTAAAATAAAAATGCTACGGATACCACTGTGCGATCTTTACTTCTAAAAACTGTAAAAATAGTCCTAAAATTCGAAATGGATGTAAGAAGTATCACTAAGCCTTCCACTAACTCGTCGTTTATCAATTTTCCCTGTCAAACTGTACAGTTAAAAAACTGTACTGTTTGCTGTGCATAATAAATAATGTGTACTAAAGTAAAACATGCTGAAAAGCATGTTTTACTTTATTTTATACCTGACATTGAACAGCTGGTGCGTTTTTTTTTATGTTTAAGACCATCAATGTTCAGCTACATAGTCTAGCAATTTAGAACTTAACCCAGATGGCAGAGGTGGTTTGGTGAACTGTGGTGGCACAGAGGATAGACCGTTTACCTCCCAATGAGATGACCCTGGTTCGAATCCCAACGGTAGATGGATGATACGAATTCTGCTCCCGGCCCGCACTAACCACAGTGCTGACTAAAAATATTTTCAGTGGCAGGCGGATCATAGAGGTTAGAATCCCTTTGCTTTCTGGCTGACCGTGGAAGATTTTCATGATTTCAAATGCAGGTTAGTTCCATCAAAATGTCCTCCCCGAGGACTAGTTTGTCCCAATGCTTGATTCAAGAGTTCCCTAGTCTTCTAGGTTGGGTTCATAATTACAAGACAACGGAGTTGAGTGCTGGTAATTGAAAATTCAGAATTTTGTCGGCTGTTCCACGCCGATTATTTAAAAAGTCGCTAATTTATCGAACATTCCTTTCGAAAAACTTGCTTCCATAGAGAATTTTTTGACGGAATTAACCTGCATTTGTGTTACATGGAGAGAAAAAAAATGAAAACTTCCATGGTACAGCAAAGAGATTTCTACCAATAATCTGCCAACCATTGAGGATATTTTTTACATATTCTGGTATAGAAAGGGGAAAAAATGTTCTACACTGTGTAAGTAAAATTTTATTTATTTACTTTTTTGTCCGGAAAGTGACTCGTCCTTTAAAACGAATTTTTTTCCTTTAAAATGTTTATTGTCGATGTCTAAAAAATACAATATAAAAACAAGAGAACATTTGACTCTCACCATTGCATTTTTTTAAATTTTTTTAAAGCTTTTCTCCATTCCATTACTGTCATTGGTGCTTAAGAACGTGCTTAAGAAGTCAGTGTGATGTATGAAAGCTAAAATTTAATAAACCAATTTTCCCAATTTTTTTTCTCGCCTATGTACCCTCAAATGCTCAATCATGTTTTGGTGAAACCCTATTTTTGAAGGAAGTTTATTTAAAAATTATGAACAGATAAAACGACCAAAGAAAATCACTAATTGCGTTGAAATTATTTAATGTCACTAAGGAATTTTTTTCGTTGTTTCATCAATGATTGTCTTAAAATTGGTTTCCATGAAAGACAGTTAAAGTAACTGGTCTGGAATGGGAGCAAAATAAATTCTCAAAACGTGTTTGGTGGATGCCTAAGCTGGAAATGAAGAAGTTGAGAATGGTTAACGAAGAAATATATNATTCTGTGTGTACCTTCAAAGGTTAATTTCCAAATATAATGTATATATATATATATATATAAATATTTCTTCTATATTAATTTAGAGATTTATTTTTTAAATTAAAAATTGAATGTACTACTATTACAGATTTGTAATTTAGATAATACTGTAGATAACATAGATTAATAATGTAGATAATGCTGCAAATGGTATATATTAATAACGTAGATTATGCAGAACTCCGTAAATACTAATATAGATTTTTATAAATGTATATTCTTTTCATAATTTATTCAATATATTGTTAATAGAATTTTTGTTTAAAAATTTTTTTTTTTCAATGGTATATTATTTGAATAATTTTATAAAAATAACTAAAAAATAATTATATAATGAATTATTGATTGTATTTATTACAGATAACAGATTTCAGGAATTATTTCTGACTAGAAAAAGCCCTAAGGCTTGGAACCCCTGTGAACCTTTCACGGAACCCAAGGGTTCAAAGGAACACCTTTGGGGAACCGCTGTGAAGAACGATTGTCACTTATTCAGTGTTCAAGGTGACTTAATTCTGTGGTGTTGAAGAACAACAAAAGTTTAATTTACTTTTGAATATAATTATTACTATTTATAACTATTTAATTTATGCATAATAAAATCTTCGATAAAGTTGTTTTTTTTTTCAAGAAAACTTTTAAAAAATGTGTCAGTTGAAAGAAATTATATAAATGGTTTGGTGACATCAAAAATTAAAAAAATCAATTATAATTTCCTCGGAGATTTTTAATACTTTTCTGTTCATTTATAAAATAGTGTAAAACACAAAGAACATAATATCTCCTAAATTTACCTATTGATGTTTAAATAGTGATAAATTTGAATTTAAAATTTCGTTATTGTGATTTCTAATCGGGTAATAAAAAAAAATCTACAACAAAAAATAAATATATTTCTCGAAATTCTTCAAGAAAATTAATCAATAAATTTTTTCAAATGCATAATTTCGTTAAAAAAAAATCTAATTTATCATGTGTTATTATCTCTTATAATTGGGAAAGATCTAACTTTTTATTCAAACTTTTTATTCAACTTATTAGAAATATCAAAAAGACATTTTTTTCCAACTGGTTTCCTTTTCTAAAATTCAACAATGCACGGATGTATTGTCATTGTTTACTACATCTATTTCTTTTCTGTAAGCAAAGATAACTATTTTAACAATATAAAGGCAAAAATATAATAAATAAGTCTTCCTTAACAATGACATTTTAATTGTTCTAGTTAACTTTTTCAATAATGGAAATTGTGTGATCAAAATTAAATTTCCACAGCGTCTCTTTGTCGAACGCAATCTGATTCACGCAAAGACGCATGTTGAAGTTCTCATTTTCAACATGAGCAAGCTCTATTTCTTCGAGGTTACATCCATAGCAATATTATTATTTCTCCTTTTATGTGCTGCATTTCAAAATCAATGGGATTTATACTCCTTTTTACCATCATTCATTGGATTCTTTGTATATGCTGTAGTGAAGGCAGCCATTGCTTACATCAGACAGCAAGAAATAATTGCAAATGGCGATGAAACATCAAGTGAGATAACTGCAGCTTCCACTGACGAAGGGTCTGAATTCGGAAGAGGTTATTTAGCCGATATCAGTGAAGGATCTGATTTAACATCATATGGCAGTGATAGAAGGGCAAAGGAGAATTTCCCATTTGTATCGCAAGAGCGAAGAGGACTTGATCAATTAGCTGTTGAGACTTCTTGTAGTACCGGTTGTAAAACATCAGGCAGTGGAACAGATTCTAGCCAAAAAGATTTATCCGACTGCTGCCAAACATTTGGAGAAGAATCCAGCAATAGCGAGAAAAGCAGAACTCGGAAAGAAGACCTTCTTCCCATGATCTCATATGGCGCATGGTTACACTGGGCTAACTTCAAACCGGTAGACGTGAACTCAGATGATACAAAAACATCCTGTTCTGGCCCTCACGTTTCATACTTTGCCACAGATTTTGAGAACGAGACACCCGACCCAGAAGTGCCGAGTCCCGATGAAAAGCCTGTATACAATTTTGAAGGTTTAATGATCTTGCACGATATTCTAACAGCAAGGGAGGAGCTTTTCAATCAGGTTGTATCGGATTCGGATATCAATAGTCTGGAAAGGGAAGAAATTGTTGAGACTCTTCAAGAAGAAAGCAAGACCATTGAAAGTACTGAAGAGTGTGATGTCGAAACAACAAAAAGAGATCTAGTAGAGTTACAACAGAAGCCAGAACGTAAACGTCGATTCTTCCACATCAGAGGAACGTCCATTCGAAGAGCTGGACACGCTGTACGAAATGCAAGCATAGGTTTCCTTAGAGCATTTGCTTGCTGCAGGAAGGAACAGAAGTGATCATTTTTGGACACCTCAACCTTGTGTGTTTCTTAAATTTGACTTATTGGTGATTTTCATGTTCTAAATTGGATTTCTTATATAAAATTATGGAACGAAAAAGGCAGTTCAGCGATTTTTGAAAGCACAACGGATTAGTGCCTTTTAAGATGGACATTAGACTGGAAATTGAAATAAAGGAAAAACACAGTCATGCAGAAATGTTAGGAGTTGATTTGAACGTATAAGATGTAAAGGGATGAATTTGCATAGAAATTTGGCAAGGCAAATCTGAAATTTGAAATAGTGCAAAGAGAAATTAAATGCAATACTTTATTTATTTATACAATTTGGCAATAGCGAACAACATTTTTCTGCAAAATATTAAATAGTCACCCAAAATTATCAGCAATATTTTGCAGGAATAAATTGAATACAAAATATAGGTAGTTTTACACATATTTCAAACAGCTGCACAATTATTACATTACAAAATCCCGTTCATTTATACTGAACATACTTTGGTGTTTTTGAAATTTACTTGTTCAGAATCACAAATATTTTACAGAAGAAGTATTACACATATATTTTTTTGTATGTATCTAAGAATGTTTAAACATGCAATACATACCATGTATATGTAGGAAAATATATTTGTCTACTGAACAAAATAAAGCAAAATTATAAAAAAACTTTCAAAATCAACTTTTTATAAAAATGGCTCTTGGAAAAATTTTAATTTCTGTAATAATTGTGCTGTTGTTTTGAAGAATGTGAAATTTATTCTCAGCTGTCAACTATTTTTAAAATATCATTGGAATCCGTCAAATATCAGATCTGACCTTGTACATTTCTTAACTCCTACTACTACTCAAAAAACTCATGGTTCACAGTGAAATAAAGTACAAAATATTGTGGATATTCATCGGACTGAATTTGACAACGAATGGTTCATGATTGTTGCGATGTTGGACTTAGTGGTTTCTGATTGTGAGATGATGGGCTAAGGGCTGGATTATTGAATGTTAGATGTCGGGTCATGCGATGGAATTTTGAATGTTAGATGTCGGTAAGCATGTGAAAGCATTTGAAAAATATGATATAGAAGAATATGATTTCTGTGACAAGTTGAGGTGTCAGCTATTATGTGAGTTATTCATCGGCTAATACGTATTTTTTCGGCTATTATTTCGGATATTTTAGAACATTTTGTGCAATCTGTGAATTTTTGTCCTATCTTGTGAAATTATAGGCTAATCTCTATTGTTTCAAGCATTTAAAGAATATTTGGAAAATAAATTCGCACTTGATTTGGCTTTTGAGTGCAATATTTAAAGTTTTGCAATATTCTTTGAATTTTATGATACAATGTTTTTTAGTGTTTGGGTAAACTTTGTTTAGAATTTCTTTCAAGTTTATAAGTAGGCTTTTCTCATTAAATGACTTCTTTCAGTGACATTATATCGCTCTTTCTGACCCATGAGTCAGGTTTCATAAAATCGCTAAGTATCAGACCTGACCTAGAACACCAAACACTCCACGAGCAGCTTCTTTTGGCGATTGTTTGAAGAGTGTTTTAGTGATTCATCCGTGTTCAATAAAGACAACAAACACTTGAGTCAATTAATGATCCGCGTGGTTTGTAACGTTACAGTGCCAGTTTCATACTTTATATCATTCATACTCATGCAAATTTTTGACCTTTGCCTTCTCCAAAAAATAAGAAAAAAAGAAATTTAATAAAAATTATAATTTTTTTAAAATGAAATTTTAATATTTTTTAGACCTTGCGATGTTTTTTTTAAGTTGATGAAAGAAATATTAATCCAATGTCAAACAATCCAACCTAATAATCCCGTATCCAACCTACGAATTTCATTCTTAAAGATCTAATTTAATATATTCAATAACAATCATACTAATGGATTTTTTTAGAAACAAAAATAAACCGCTTGTACAAAAACAAAATGAAGATGCAGCTTTAGGTGAAATGGTAAAACCGATTTAAAATGTCATTAAAAATGGGACATTTTTCTTAAATATAGTCAACAAATAAGCCGATCGGCCTGAGTAGGGGGCAGGGAACTGTCCTTGCATCAGAAAGGTTCTGGGTTCAAATCCCGCGCAAGGCATGGATGTTCTTTCCTTCTCAGTACTATCTGTCCTCACTGTGGGAGCGACGTTGGCCCACCTAATATGGTGCCCCTGAAAGAGAGGCCAACAAAATCGCCCTGTAAATGCCTGAATTGACGGATGTTAACACAGGTGGGCATGGAAGAAAAAAAAAGTAAACAAATAAAAATCAAAAAATTTAATACGATTTGAACGAAAACAGTACCCATAATTAGTGACGAAATATTAAAACAGTATTACATATCAGTCATATTTTTCGCAATTGAAAAAATACGTCACTGATTACAATACCCATAGGGAAAAAAATAAAATTGAAATATCTAAGGAAAAAAAATTGGTAAAGAAAATGAATTTCAATTTCTTCTCTCAAACGTAATCAGAAAAGAATAAAATTAATTATCTGAAAAGACTAAACTTTTATTTCAGATAGAAGATTGAGTAAGATTGCTTTCTGTTGCCATTCCTAATCTGAAATACAATTCATCGATTGATTTATGAAAACGTCATAAGGTAATAAACTCAAAATTCCACAAAAGACTTCAGATCTGCAAGATAAATTGCGCTCGTCTGCTCTGGGGAATCACGTACAGCTTTTATTGCTCCGACCCCTTACGATTCAATTAAGGTAGGAAAGAATCGTTTTGCATGAAGAGAATGTAGTCGTGTGTTTCGTCTGGATTTTCTGTTTTATCCTTTCCCAATCGTTCAATTTTATCGTCTGAACAAAATATCGTCTGAATGAATCTAAAGTCTTATTTCCTTCTTTTTTTTAAATCGTAATTTTCCCCCTGTTATTAAAGGAATTTATATTTTAAAAAAATAACATTTACTTTGACGTATAGCGGTAATTTAAAATCGTCTGATTTTTTCCTCTCACATAGGGACATAAATTATATATTTACATAAAAAACAAACAAGCTTGAGTATGACTAGTTAAATATTTTTACTTAATTTTATTTTTATTTAAAGCAGGGTTTTTCTTTAAACGATAGAACAATACAAGTTGTAATGAAAAATTTTAGTTCCAATTTATAAATATGTAAATAAAATTATTACCATCATAATTGCATCCATGTTAATTAGAAATTTGCTTATTTCCGTGTCATATTTTAAAAAAGGTTGGATTTTCGAAAATAAAATAGGCTTCAAAATCTCTCTTACAACAATTGGTATAAATTTTACACGAATTTAAATTACGCCAATTTTAATTGGCGAAAAAGCTTAGGCGGCTGAAAGTAAACATACGACTTGAATGGTAAAGCTTGGTAAACATGCGACTGCTAAAGATTATAATGTATAGATACAAAAAAATGTTGTTTACAAGACATGTTTTCTTAATTTAAAATTCCTTTTATGTGTAACGACAAAGTATATTAAGGCTATATTGTTGTAACCAACTCTTACGTGTTTAACAACTTTGAAAATTGAGGGTTTAAAAAATGCCGCTTTTCCACAAAGTTCTTCAGTTTTAAAACACACTCACCCTTGTGACGTTTATGATGGTCATGCTGAATGATGTGAAGAGGACGACAGACGTAAAAATCTCTCGACTGTATTTCCGGCGATCAAAAAAATCCTTGAATTCATCCATAAGTCCAGTTATTACTGATTCAAGACCGCCCATCTGAAAGACACAATTTCCATAAGGAACGATTTTATTTTAAAAGAGATTTTCAACGATTAATCACTGTTGAATTCGCTGAATTATTTGACAATAAAATAGGAAATATGAAACTAAACTAATATAAAAACGTTATCATCTTACACTATCATAATCTAGGTTTCCTTCTAGAAAAACAAAGTTCTTAATCCACAAAACTCTTGCCCGGCCAGTCTTGACACACGCTTCTGAAGCTTGGACAATGACAAAACGGGCGGAAAATTGTATCGCAATATTTGAGAGAAAAATTTTGCGGGTATACTTGGTGGTGTAAATGAAACTTCTGAAGCTTGGGACAATGACAAAACGGGAGGAAAATTGTATCGCAATATTTGAGAGAAAGATTTTGCGGGTATACTTGGTGGTGTAAATGAAACTTCTGAAGCTTGGACAATGACAAAACGGGAGGAAAATTATATCGCAATATTTGAGAGAAAGATTTTGCTGGTATACTTGGTGGTGTAAATGAAAACAGTAACTGGAGAAGGAGATTTAACTTTGAACTGTACAAGATTTATATACAACATGATATAATTAAATACATTAAAATAACTAGAATGAATTGGATCGCCCACGTGATTCGAATGAGTGACGACAACACAATAAAAAAGATACTGCTTTTTAGACCCACTGGAAAAAGAAAGCGGGGAGGGCCGCGGTTGAGATGGGCTGACTCAGCGGAGTCTGATTTTCTCGCAATTAATGAAAAGAATTGGAGATCAGAGATAAATCGGAAGTCATCATGGAGAAATCTTCAGAGGAAGACATTGGCTCACATTAGGCTGTCTGGCCAACTATGATGATGATGATCATCTTACACTATCATAAGCTTCTTACCTCATCCTAGTTGGGGTTGTACTGTACATCTTTTACTAATGTGGAGAAGAGCAGGAGATATGCAGTTTGGCGAGAGTCTGGGATCGAACCAGGGACCTATGGTTCCGTAGACGGATACGCTAACTGCTGTGTGATGGGCAGCTTCTATCTAAAACTTCATAACTCCACCTGGTTGGGGGTATACCTTTTTTTCCGTGGTGGTTGTGGTGGTTAGATCATCCATCGACTGACGCAAAAGTTCAAGGTTCGATTCCAGTTGGTTCCAAAGAGCATCTCTCCTCCACGCATCACGTGAAGCAAGCTTACATTCTGTTAATTTTAAATTTATTTGGGTAGCGTGGAAATGGAACTCACCGCACTGTCCAGACCTAGGCTGAGTAGCATGATGAAGAAGAGAACAGCCCAGAACTGACCACCGGGTAAAGTTGCTATGGCTTCAGGATACACCTGGAATACAAGACCATGACCTTCCGTGGCCACTTTGTTGATGGGCACTCCATGTTTGTGGGCCATGTAACCAAGGAAAATGAAGATGACGAACCCACTGTAGAAGCTTGTGAAACTGTTCACAGCTGTTGTCACTAGACAATCCCTTAAAAAGAAATATTCAATTATTTAAGTCAGTATTAACAAGTTTTTAAAGTGTCCCTCGGAAACCTTATTTTTGGTCCGTCATTTTTTCTTTTAAATACTTTGTGTTGTGAATAATAAGGGGAAATTTATTTTAATACAAGCGAAATGTAAAAATCCCAAATGTTTGCTACAATTTTCACTTCAAATTTATTTTTTCAAAGCGAATTCAGTAATTCAGCGAAGCAATTAAGAATTAAAGTGGTGCGTATCTGCACCTTTGGCCAAATCATTGGGTAAACCATTTAGTTGAACGTTAGTTTTCTTACGGCAGTTGCTTCATTTTTATTTCAATTACAGCAACAGGGCTTGTAACTTTAATCCATCATTGAAACATATGATTGATTTCAAATACAATAATTATGAATTTTCCACAAGTCGAATTTTTCAATAACCATTTCAGGCTGAAAAAAAAAGAAAAAACACAGCTAGGTTAGTTTAAACATTTCTCAACTTCTAAACAGAAAGTGTTGTTGAAAATCAATAGTTCAATTGCTAATATTTTATAGATGTCTTCAGAACCTTTGAAAATGGCAGAAATTAGTGAAAAAAAATTTGTCACATTGTTTTTTCCATTGAAATGGTGCGTTGACGCACTCTTGGCCGAAATGAGTTAAAAAGGAAAAATATTATAATAGGCTGTATATAAAAAAATATAAGTTGAAAAGGAAAAATGTTATAACATTTTTTATTAATAAATAATTAATTTATACAATATGTAGTTAAATAAAATTACCTGTAGCAATTGTTGTGAAAATTATTGTATGATGCGTATGTTAAATGCACTCCAAAACCTACTCCTACTGAAAAGAACACTTGCACAGCAGCATCTACCCACACCTGAAATAAAATTTTTCAGTTTTATTTTCAATAAATTATGAAAATTTCATTTTTCTCTTAAATTATGAAATTTTTTGCTTCATGGGCAAAAGTCTTAAAGGAATGCTATAGTTGCCAACTCCGATATTTTACATCCCCACAATAGTAGGATGAAATCATATGCATATTATTGAATAAAGCTAGTATGAATATTTTATCTTCGCTAGCATTAAAATAAACCCGAACTGATTAGCAACTCTTTCATATCAACTAGGATGCCACGCTGCGTTCATGTTGTTGTTGTCTCATGCCACTTGTATATTTTAGTCTAATTTTATATGTATGCTGGTACTCTTTCGAAAATAATGCTCTAAAAATGGGCAATATTTAGATCTAACGAAACTTTTCATTTATACATATTTCATTCAATTTATATGCATTACGATATAAGCCCACCGAAGGCCACGGTTACTTCGAAATAGCATTTCGAACAAATAATTGACAGAAATTCTCTGTATTCGCAATTATAAATTTATGTGTTTGCAGATACAACATCTTTATTCCAGTTCATAAAATGTACAAAAACCAAACAACTAAGAAAATGAAAATAAAAGATTGTAACAAAATAGATAAAAATATAGGTAGCGTACCAGAATTTAAAAAAAAAGCTATATTCAATAATCATCGTATTTCTGGCCAATCCCCGTTGATAATGCCACACTCTGCGGAGTTAATTATTAAGAATTAATTAAATTAAATTTCAGCTCCAAATTATTACGTTATTTGCATACATTTATAGAAAGAATTAAACAAAATTATAGAAAAGGTAATCCAATTGCAATTTTTCTTCCTGCCCAGCTTATAGTTTACTTTGCTTAAGCTTTTCGATGCCAACGTGAGAAAAGCAATTTCATCGCTTTTCCTTTTGACAATAATTGCATCATTGTTTGCAGCATTGAGCAATCTTTCAAATCTCATTCTATTAACTCGAGAAGGTCTCCACACTTTGACAACATTCAATAAAAGAGGTTGTTAGTGTAACGCTTTTTGTAAGTAAAACTTGGTAAAAGTTTTCAGCAATGTCCTTCATAAGACGAACAACCTTATTTTCTTCGCTCATGCTTGGATCATGACGATTACATTTTATGTATTGTAGATTTTTTCCACGCTTATCAAACAACATACTTAAAAACTGAGGTTTAATAAAATTTAATTCTACATACCTGTGAGTTGAACAGCTTAGAGATATCTGGATTTATGTAATACTGGACCCCCGAAGCTGCTCCCGGAAGGAAAGCACCTCGAAATAGCAATATAGTCAGAATGACGTAAGGGGCAGTCGCTGTCACCCACACCACCTGTTGGACAAACAGAAAAAATTATAAAACATTTTTGAAATTGTGTAGTTAAGATATAAGTCTAGAACAATTTGATGTTAAAAAAATAGAACTAATTTCTCAGATAACAAAATTTTTTCGGATAAGCGTACTCTGGAACTACACAAAAACATAAAATGATTTTTAATCCAGTAAAAAGATGGTTTCAAAAAGTGATGGCACGAACTCAAGCTCATGAATTAATGGATATCACAGAAATATAGCCTCAAATATGATGAAATAAGGCGGCACTTATAAAGGATTTTATACAGAGTATGTCTATTTATATCAATTTGAATTGACTGTTACAAGACCTATACAAATTTCAATTAAACTTTTTTAATAACGGTGAGACTTCAAGTGACTCCTTTATTTAATCAGTTTTAAAAATATTTCGTGCTTTTGCTTTCACTATTTTGAATTTCATTTATTTTATAATACTATGAAAGCTCTTTCAAATGCATCTAAAGAGCTTGTCGAAATAAAACTTTATATATATGTTTTTTTACAGCAATGTAGGTCTTTAAACAAAAGCTGTTTACAAGGTTGTTGATAATGTCTTTTAGAACCTATAAATCCCACTCTATTAAAAAATTCAAAATCTCGGGAGACTTCTGGGTAGCGGTGGAGAGCTACAAATAGTCGGCTAAGTGCATCCCATACATGCTCTATGAGAATCAGGTCTGGAGTTCTGTATGGCTACTCTTTTCTCTGAGCATCTTCGGCCTCAAGGTACTCTAATCATACCCTGTGAGAAAATGTGTTGTCATTCATATAAATAAGCGAGTTTAAAAAGCTTCTCTGAATAATCTTATGTAGTTGCGAAAGATTGATAGGTTGGTGCTTTATTTATGTCGCACTAGAGCTGCACTAAGGGCTATTGGCGCCGGTCTCGGAAACATCCCAGAGGATGATTCAAAGATATACCATCACAATTTTGATCCTCTGCTGAGGAGAGGATTCCTCTGCTTTGGTAGCCCGATGACTTGAGCGAGAAGTCGAGCATTTTACGGTAGATCGGCAGTTTAACGAGAACCGATACCGTGCAACCTCGCTCCCTAGACAGGCTGATCAAAGTGGTCACCCACTTGCTGACTGACCGCAGCCAGTCACTTCGGTGCTCTACTGAAAGCCGTGTCTTTGCGGGTTTACTGCGGGACTAGTTGCGAGGGAAGAGCTTGATTATTTGCTCAATAAGACGAATTTGCTGTTTTTCTCAAGAACCTCTTTGCATGTAATTATTTTACAATTTTGCAGAATTTAGAGTTGGTAGGTTTTGAAAATTACGCTTTTACAAAATTTAATACATTTTGATTGATTGTTAGTATTTAAATGAGAATACAAATGATCAAATAATGTGATCAATAATAATACCTTTCCGGATGACTTGACCCCTTTGAAGAGAGCAAAGTAGAGAATGACGAAGACGGAAAAGACGCACAGAACCAGCTGCCATTTTGGTGCACCTAAGTCATCAAAACCAGAGCTCAGGTGAAGTTCAAGGACTCCCCGACTAAAAAATAAATAAATAAAGTAAAAAAATAGAAAGAAAATACAAGATTATATCTGAATCAAGGTACGATATCGAGACAAGTAACAACAATAAAATTGTCTAACAAAATTCTTAGGAAAAGCAATCTGAATCAAATCTTTGTAAACATTGTATGATGAGCTTGAAGTCAGAATATATAGCGAAGTTAGAATATATAGCGACAATGAAAGACAGAAACTTCTGTTTGTCCGCCGTGCTATATCTTATGCTTCTCAGCTAAGCGTGACCACTCATTCTCAAAAAACTCATTCTTTAGGGAGTGAAAGAATATATAATAACGTTTGCACTGACGTACGTATGTATTAAATACGCTTTTACAAACTTTAAGCGTCATTATGGAAAACGTTTTTCATATCGCAGATTCGAGAAGTTCAATTTGCCATCGATTTTATTAATAATTTTTCAATATGTCACATTGTTGTTGTTGTTGAGGTATGCCTGTTTAGGCAGAGGGGGTGCAATTGTTCTTGTTTTAAAGTGGCGCCATCTATGGCCAAGAATTCGACTTCTGTCACAGCATACGTCGCACCCGCCAATAATAATATGTCACAATAATAATATGTCACATTATTGTTGTTATTTAAGCAGCGCACGGCATTCTTTGAAGGTGTTTATAAGTTTTGGGTAATTAACTCTTTCCGGCCTTATGTCTTTTCTCAGCCACCAAAGCTCGAGTTGCATGTCGGCTTATAGTTATTGCGAAGAACTATACTGGTTTTACAAAATATTCAAAATATTGTTTTGCTAATTAAAATTCAAAATATTGTTTTGTTTATTAAAATTCAAAATATTGCACAAAATTTAAAATATTATTTTACCAATTATGATTAGTTGTAATAGCTTTTTTCCTTCTTACAAAAAACCCAGTATTTACAATATTATTCTGAATTTTACTCGCCCAATAAAAATTAATTTCAACCTTTAACATACAAACTTAATACATTCTAGAAGGATGATTAAAAATTTCAATTTTATACATGGTTTTTTATAAAAACTGGAATAAATAAAATTTTTATTGTTTCTATCTATTGACGTTTGGAACTAAAGGTTTTATATTTACAAATCTTTTCTGAGAACCTTGGTGACTCGGAGGATAAAGCACTCGCCACCCTATGTAATGACCCAGGTTCGAATACTAGCATCGGCTGGTCCCGACCACTGGGCTGACATAAAATATCCTCAGTGGTAGATGGATCATGGGTTAAAATCCCCATGTCGTTAGGCAAATCATGGAATTTTCGCTGTTTCCATCTCCATGTAACGCAAATGCGGGTTAGTTCCAACAGAGAGTCCTTTACGAAGGCTAGTTCGTCCCGATGCAAGAGTTCCAGTATCCAGGAGTTCCCAATTGTCTTCTGAATTTGGTTCACAGTTACAATGCTACGGAATTGAACTTTCATAGTCGTCAACTCAGAATTGGATCGGCTGTTCAACAACGGTTTTAAATTAAATTTTTTTTTGACAAATATATTTAATTTCAAGTGGGAGAAAAAATGGGAATGCACTTAAAATTTATACTTTGTCCTGCCATCTATTTTTTAGGCCCTTACATTTATAATTACAAAAAAACAAGCACACGCAATACTAAGTTCAGATTCAGTTTCTCTTTTTGTCGTGTTCATTCTAAACAATTAAAAATTGTTTTACAAATCTTCTATTTTTAAAGATGTTGCACATATTTTCCCCTTAAACACATGTATTTTATTCCTTTCTCTTTTCGTTACTTTTATTCCAAGCAAAATTGGCAACAAAAATCTTAATAATACTCTAAATTTTACGACGTTGCATGTATTCTCTCTTTAAAACACATATATTTGATGCCCTCCTTTTTTTGTCACGTTCATTCTTATAACTAAATCTTAAAAATGTTCTATTTTAGAAGCCGCTACACATATTCACCCCTTAAACATAAAGTGTATTTTCTTTCCTTCCTTTTTCTCCGGCGTGCATTCTACACATTTTTCATTCAACGATAAATAACAATATCTAAAGTGACGAATGATGTATTAGCGAAAAAATTGTTTCCAACAATCAGAATAAACTACGAAAAAGTTCCAATTTATGGGAGTGTGAAGCCCTTTTCGCACGATTTGATGTATCATCCATTGTTTTGTTACTAGCAGTGACGTAATTGTGACGTCGGCCAGATAAACTCACTGGGAATAGAATTCTAAATCGTGTTTACATGTCTCCTCGTCCTTGTACTTAAGCGTCGGGAAGTTTTTTTTTCCCTTGGATCTCCCAATCTAGAACTTCAACAAATGAACTCCTGATCCAGATCTAATGAGACTTGGTGGGCATAACGAAGATATATTCGTTCGAGACAATAGAGATTGGAGCACTGGGAATTTTTCGGTCCTACCAAAGAGTTAAGAATAGAATTTCCTCCAATCTTTTATCGTTTGGTGAATGTAGGTGTTTTGTACTAAGAATTAACTTCTTTTTTTTTAATCATTAATTTCAAATAAATGGTTGCCGGCGAACTGGTAAACATTTCTGTGGAATTTCGTAAGTTATTATCGTAGATATTTCTTTTAATAGCAGCGAAAATTTCTTAGTGTGTTTTTTATAAAATTAATCACAAACTTCCATCTACAAATTCTTGATGGGAAAGAGCCCAAATACTTATCCCCAAAATAAATCTTCATAAAATTTTCCCAACCACGTAGATTCATAAACATCTTATATAATCTCAACAATAATTTCCAACTGGTTTAGCATTTTTGCAACTTGAACAAATCACCAGTTTCGTAAATTATCGTAGTTATTAATAATAACGGTTAAATTTTTTCGGTAAGTTTTTTGGAAAGATTTATTTCAGATCGTTCCAACAATTTTATTAAAAAAATTTCCATCTTTAATTTTTTGATGGAAAAGTGTTGGAATAAAAAAAATCTTTGTAAACTTTCAACCACGTAGATTCATAAACATTTTATATAATCCCAACATTAATTTCAAATCAGTTTAGTATTTTGCCAACTTGAACAAATCACCAGTTTCGTAAATTATCGTAGTTATTAATAATAACGGTTAAATTTTTTCGGTAAGTTTTTTGGAAGATTTATTTCAGATCGTTCCGAAAATTTCATTAAAAAAATTTCCATCTTTAATTTTTTGATGGAAAAGTGTTGGAATAAAAAAAAATCTTTGTAAATTTTCAACCACGTAGATTCATAAACATCTTATATAATCCCAACATTAATTTAAAACTGGTTTAGCATTTTTGTAACTTGAACATATCATCAGTTTTTGGGAATTTCGTAAATTATCGTAGTTATTAATATTAGCTCTGAAATTTTTAGTAAGTATTTTGGAAGATTAATTTCAGATCGTTCCGACAATTTTTTTTTGAAAAAGTTTCCATCTATAATTTTTTGATGGAAAAAAAAGTCGGAATAAAAATAAATATATCTTTGTAAACTTTCAATAACATTGATACTCAGAATATTTTATTTAATCTCAACATTAATTTCAAGTAAATGGTTATATTTTTTGTTAACTTAGGAAAAGATCACCAATTTTTGGGAATTTCTTAAAATATCGTGGTTTTAAATAATAACGGTGAAATTTTTTCGTAAGTGTTTTGGAAGATTTATTTCAGATCGTTCCGACAATTTTACTGAAAAAATAGAAAAGAACTGGAATATTAAAAAATTTTTGTAAACTTTCAACAACGTAGATACTTAGACCATTTTATTTAATCCCAACATTAATTTCACATGAATTATTAATATTTTTGTAACTTGTAAATCGATCATCAATTAGGAAATTTTGTAAATTATCGTAGCTATTGATAATAACGTGGAAAAATTCTCGGTGAGTTTTTTGGAAGATTTATTATTACACCAATTTTAAGTTTTACCTTAAAATTCTTGATGGAAAAGTATGAAAATGCTTACCATGAAAATAATTTTTGTAAACTTTTATTCATTAAAATATTATTTAACTTTCTTTTATAATCATATCATTATCTAATATAGAATTTATATTACGTATAACAGAATTTTAAATTATGACCACCATAAATCATAAATTTCAATTCATTTTTTAAAAAATTAAATATCTAATCACCACTACTACCTTACTTAGGTCCAAAATTCATCGTTGGTGGTCATAACGATCCATTTCACCCTGTTCCATTTCTTCTTCTGTTTTATAAATTTCATTCTGCATTGTTTTCTCTTGCTCGTTTCTTACAATTCCGTATTTTATACAACCTTCATTAGATTCTGCTGACCATTTATTGCTCGGACTTCAACTCTGCTACCACAATCACATAAAATACTGCGAATTTTTCGCCTAAACAATTTTTTAAGCTTATCGGTAGATATATTAATATTTAAAAAAAACATCAACAAACATTAAAACTTTACTATCTATAAAAATAAATTTTTGAACAATTAAAATGAAATTTGACTTATATTGAATAACATTAGTGCATTCTTCTTATCGATATAATATCAAAAACATTGCACTATGAGTGAATTGTTTCCAAAGATTGATTCTAAAAAAACAAATTATTAGTAAACAGAAATAAACAAAACTAATTTTCAAACTGTAAAAAAGCAATTTTTTTGGAAGGTCTTACTTTTCTTAATTTTTAAAGTACTTGTTTTTATCTTTTCTTTTTGAAGAAAAAAACAAACAAAATAGCAGTTTTGGTGAGACTCACTCGAAAAACTCCAGTGCAGGACTCGTCCAGTTCTTGTGGACACCATCCGTTGAGTTGTCGAACAGTTTCTCCGTCTCATTGTATCCGCCGCGGCACAGGTCGGTGTTCCATGCGTTTCCACATCTGACCCAGGGCAACTCTAATGTTAGAGAAGACACCATGAAGTAAATGGTCCAGCCAATGATCACGTTGTAGTAGAATGAAACATACCACGAGATCAAGACGGCGCAGAATCCTACGCCTACAAAAAATCAAAAGAGCACAAGATTAAGAAGAGCAAAAGCAAGACCAAAGAAGCATGCTTAAACCTGTGCTTACGGCGCTTAGTCAGATGAATTCTGGTTCACTTGTTATACCAAAAAAAAAGCAAAAGGTTAAGTTGGGCAGAAATAAGACAAAAAGAATTTTAACACGTTGAATTCCACACTAATTTTACATGGCTTGCCGGTCTGACCAAAATGATTTTAGTGTATTCTATATTGTATTAATTTCTTCAAACCATTTCAGTATATATATATANAAATCATTTGGAAATTCTCTTTGGTTTGAATCATGGTTTTTAAGTCGTATACTTAAACCCTTTGACGCATAATTTTTATTAATCATAATTTCCATTTTTTTTTCATTATTTTGTATTAATTTAGGTCAAAAATATTGTATTTAGCATTTTTAATAATTAAATACAACATGAAACATCAGTGTCTTTCTCTGCATTAACTCTTTAAATGCCACGCTAATTTTACATGGCTTGCCCGTCTGGCCAAAAGGATTTTCTCAATATGTATTGCATTAATTTCTTCAAACCATTCTAGTAACGATAATAATATTAAAAAATAAATTATAAATTTACTCGAATTATGTGTTTTGATAATCTTGGCTTCGGCGGTCACCGGTGAACCACGTGGTGCTACGAACAAATTCAGTGCCGGTCACCGTTGACCCCCATGGCATTCAACGTGTTAAATTGACCTGACACATGAGGAAAAAAGAAAGAAAAAATTAAACTGGACAGAAAAAAAGATTTAAAAGAAAACAATGCCAAAATAAACAAATTTAAGTCGATCATGCAGAAACAGGTCAAAAAATGACAAAGGCCAAGTTGAGTAAAAAAAAAAAAAACCAAAGCAAGTTTAATTTGAACAGAACAGAACAACAAAAAAAGGTTACGCTGGACAGAAGCAAGACAATAACAAGTTTAAGCTGAACAAAAACAGGACAAATAAATAAAAATAGACTAAGCATGGGAGAAACAAGACAAAAACAAATTTAAGTAGCAGAAATCGGACAAAAAAGAGAAAAAGAAAGGTCAAGCTGGGCGGAAACAAGACAAGAACAAGTTTAAGTTAAGAAACTAAACAAAAAAAATTTAAATTGGGCAGAAACAAGACAAAAAACAAGTTTATGTTCAGCAGAAACAGGACATAAAAAAAAGAAGAAAAAAACTAATTTAAGCAGAAACAAGAAAAAAGAAACAAAAAATTATGCCGTTCAAAAACAAGACAAAATTTAAAGATACTGATAAGTAATCTGAGGCACGTCATGTGAAATGATTTTCTTTTTATACTACATATGGTCAAAAACTATGGCTCTCGAACCACATGTGATATTTTTAATGCTCGAGGTGGCTTGTGGATTAAGTGCGGGCGTGCGAAGTGTTGGAGCAGAGTTTGCTGATCATTGTGCTATCCGCTTCCAGTGGCTTTCTGGTCTTCCCTTTTAAATGACTAGAATTTCAAGTATTACGAAATTTAAAATCGTACAGATAAATCTCAAGAGAATCTATTTGCCATGAAACTGTGGCAGTAATTTTATTTTAATTTCCTACTATCCAACCTGCTCGCATTTTCAGTTCTTTAATTAGATTTTAAAAAATAGGACCATGGTGACTCTGTTATTAAAAAAGGGTTACATCATTTAATATTTTAACATCATTCAGTATTTACATCAAGGTTCTTTCCATCCATTTTTCACCGTTTGCAATGTAAATTCTTTGCAACTAATTTTAAATTGACCCAAATTTTAACAAATCGTGGAAATTTTAAGAGATATTTATTTCGTTTCCATCTGCAGACCAGTGGAATTTGTGCTTGCGGTGATGCTGATGAAGATGCTGAACACATTCTTCTTCATTGTAGTCTGTATGCGAGTGCCCGAACGAATTTAAAGACTGATTTGAGACGTCCTTCTATTTGTTGGCCACCTGTCTTATCAGAACTGGTCAAAAGTATTGAAAGTCTTGCGGCCTTGCGGAATTTTGTTTTTAATGTAAATTTGTAAATTTTTCTTCTTTTTGTTTTCTACTTACAACTGTAAGCCTCATGCTATACTTTGTGGTGCATGAGGAGTTTTAAGTCGTTTAAATAAATAAAAAAAAAAATATTTACATCACTCAATATTTTAACCATTTGAAGCAGAATTTTATTAGACATATTTTTCATGATTTTTTCCATTATTTTGTGCTAATTTAGATCGAAATAAGTAAAAAATACTATATTTAGCGTTTTAATTATCTATGGTTATGAAATACGACATGAAACACCTATGTCTACTTCTGCGTTAAAGGTGAAATCTTCCACACACGGCTCACATTTTCAAATAATGATTTGCTTACTTTCAAATAATAATAATAACTTTCAAATAATAATTTCAAATATTAATAATAATTAATCAAATTTGCACTTATTTGCAGTAGTTCAGATCTAAGAGAAACAGTTATTCATCATTGAAATTTCTTCAACTTACAAAATAAATTATTGATAATTTTTTTAAATATGAATGAAAAAAAAATATTTCAAGCTACTTTTTTTTGGATTTTATATTTTATTAGAAATATAATTCCTATAATCTGACAGATTTTTTAAGTAACTATTAGAGTGTTTTATACAATTAAAAAAAGACCAAAATATATTTTTGCTATCAAAGAAAAAATATACATAAAAGGGTCACCGGTGACCCATCTGCATCAAAGGGTCAAGCAAAAAACATGTTAATTAGTTTTAAGAACACTTTTGAAGGATACCAAAATAAATTGGCACTTCTGGTGAAAAAAAGGCGCTTTTTCGTTAAAAATACTAAAAATATTACATTAGGCAAATGAAAGTTTCATTTGAGCATGCATTTTGAAGATTATGACACCCAGCAGGGCATTGAAAAAAAAATTTCGAGCTGGCTTCCATGCATTTTGGATTAGTATTTTTCCTCCTAGAAAATATTGTACGCTTTTTAATGTACATCCGCCTGTTCATTTAAATATTCATTTATAAGAATTAATTTGAATTTTAAGTTAGAACACTGCGGAGGAGGAAATTTCTTTTATTAATGATGGTAAAGTTGAGTTCAGCTGTTCCAATTAGTTTTACGTAATAACATGGTAACTTAGTTACTTTTTGAAAAGGAAGCTGCTTGTTAAATTTTTTTTCTGTTAATGAGAAACCAAAAGCGGTAATTTAAATAATACCAAATTTTCCTCGTTTTTTGTATCAAAATACTAAGAGTGAGAAGGTAATAAATGTCAAGGTCAGGACAATAAAACTGAACTGATGGCCATGGATTAGGTAATTTGCAGTTTTATGAACTGGCACATAATTTATACGGTAAAGGTTTACTTGATTAAAGTTTCTCCAGGGGGGATGCATATTTAAAGCGTAAACTTGATTTTAGAAATAATGCAAATTAGATACATATGACTATTTTTTTACCCTTAATGATTTTAAGACATGCTTAACGCAAAAATCTTAATTTTAAAATTTTTATAATTATTTTGTTGCAATGAAATAAAAAAATTTCTGAAATTTACTTTAAAAAATCTATTTATGTCATATTTATAATGAAAAACAAATCTTAATTTTTCTTCCTAATTACAATTATTAAATAGAAACCATTAATCTAATTACAACCATTAATTAGAACTTGACGACTACAATTTTTAAGGATCTGTAAACCTCGCAAAAGTAACCAATTTAGGCATTTTTTTTCCCTTTCGTATTGTATAAAGCCGTGCAACAAATGAGTAGTCAAAAACGTACCTAGTATTTTTTTAAAAAAAATTTAATAACTTTATATAGTAGGGGAGAGTGGGGTCAATTGTAACAGGGTACGATTGTAACAGAGCAAAAATTTCGAGTGTCGGGCTCTAGATTTGGTTCCTAGGTGGAGCACAAGGTGTATTTAATAAATCTACATGTACACCCCTACTGGCAACCATTTTTATGTACTTTTGAAAGAGTTACGTCACAAAAGATATTTTCAAGCTACGTAAATACTTTTTTTGGTATTAGATTATTATATTGTAACAAAGTAATTTTGTTTAAACAAATAAAAATTATTAACCGAATATGTAAGTGGACACCTTAATTAACATTTCAATGAAAAAGAATTAGTTTTGTTAATTAACTAGCAATGTTTTTAACAAATGAAGCTGAAATGGCGTCTTGGGGACGATTGTAACAATAAGTAAAGGCACGATTGTAACAGCTGAAAATAAATAATCTTATGTTTAAGAACCATTACTTAACTCTTTAAGAACCACCAATAGTTTCCTATATAATTTATATTATGTTGCATGTGCATTATTTAATTTGTCACCTTTCACAGCATAAATTAAAATTTTACACCCCTTACAGTTAAAAGTTTAACCCTTTAGGTCTCCGCTCATTATTATTTTTACTCCTAAAATATCACTGTTATTTTGATCAATAAAAAAATATATCACAACTGTGAAAATATGTATAATTAACTATGTTTTAGTTGAATTTATGAACTGTTACAATTGACCCCTTAAGTGGGGACAATTGTAACAAGTGCACGACTGTCAAAAATTGTTAATAACTAATATAATAACATTTAAAATCAGGTATTTATTTTTTTTCTAGTAGAGGATAGTCTACTTTACTCGTCTGTCAGTTAATACTAATAATATATTGGATTTTTTGTTAGTTAAAAATAGTTAAGTAAAAAATTTTACAATTGACCCCACTCTCCCCTACTAAATTTAGTATCAGCAGTAATTTCAGTTTACCATCGATTAAAATAATTAAATAAAAGAAAGAAAAAAATACCAAAATGTATGTTTTGCAAGTAGCTAAAGTGGAGAATATAATTCTATGCTTCTGTGTTGCATCAAACTGGAAAACACAGGACGCACCACTTTCGTACTAATTCAAATCGCCCATCGGAAATTACCACCACGTCCTTTGAAAGTGTTGCATCCGACGTTTTTAGGTGACAAAAATGAAATTGTTTTCTTCTTTTTAGTTTTGTGTCTGTTAGTTTGTTTATGTCGGAGAGGTGGTTGAAATTCCGAATGGTGATAAGCTCGCTATGGCAATAATATAGTTACAAATTCTGTTGCCAGCGATCAAAATATAATTTAAACGTGCATTGTCATCTAACACATAACACCAGACCAATTTTTAGCAATTTCGGTTGGTGATTAATTTTATTTCTCATTAGTGAGTGACCACAGTGCTGACGTAAAATATCCTCAGTCAGGCTAACCGTGGGAGGATTTCGTGGTCTTCCTCTCCATGTAACACAAATGTGAGTAAGTTCCATCAAAAAACTCCTCTACGAAGGCAAATTTCTCTCATTGATTGATCCAGGAGTTCCCTTGTCTTTTGGATCGGGTTCAAAATTGCAAGGCTTCGGAGTTGAACGTTAGTAGTCGTAAACCCAAAATTCAATGCTATCAATGCTCAAAATTAGGCTGTTCAATGACGATTATAAGTAAATATAAATTTTTCCATAGAATTTAAATGCTCTAGCTGGTAGGAAACACCACAAACTTTGACTATTTCCAATTAGCAATTTATTTGAAACAATGACAAATATGGTACGGTATTTCGGTTAATATAGTTAATATAGACTTAATAGTTAATATAGACTCTATAGTTAATATAGTTAATATAGACTATTAACTATAGACTCTATAGTTAATAGTTATATAGACTCTATAGTTAATATAGACTTTCGGTTAATATAGACTTAATTACCATGAAATGAAATTATTTGCAGCTAGTAGTTTAAACGAAACAATGACAAATTCAGCATTAGCAAATTTTAAAGAAGCAAATTATAAAAGTTATGAAAAAATGAAAAATACGATGGCAACCAAAGCTGACGTCGTCCAGAAGTCCTTAAAATGCAAAATCTTTTCTACCGAGAGAGCACGACAAATATCTAAATTTTGCTCTCTCTGTACCCCAAAAGTTTTGCAAGAAGCCTAGGAAGAGAGACATACAAAAACAAAATATAAAAGTAAAATACATAAATTAATTACAAAAGATTAATTAAAAACAAATTCCCTTGCCGAAATAAAAGCGCACTACACTCTGAAAATTCTTCTTTTCTCTCTTTCGGGACTTGAAAAACCTTTGCGGTATAGAGAGAACAAAATTTAGATATTTGTCGTGTTCTCATGATAGAAAAGGTTTTGTATTTTTGTGACTTCTGGGGCTGGTACCCCCTGACGACGTCAGCTTCCGTATGCCTGTTTTAGGCAGAAGGGTGCTATCGTTCTTGTTTTCCAGTGGCGCCATCTATGGCCAAGAACTAGACTTCTGCCACACCCATACGCCACGCCCGTTTAAAGGGCGGACCCATTCATGCATCCATTCATTCATCCACAGATCGTATTTTTGACCTGAATCAGAGAACGATCGATCTCAAATCCAGTACCCCCAGAGGTAGCTTCGGTTTTCATTATATTTTTCATAATTTTCATTGTTTTCTTTTTTAAAATTTGCTATTAGTTTATTAGTTAAATTGTAGAATTTCTGCTGCGTTGTTCCACTTTCCTTCGAAATTTTAGTTTTTAACTGTCTCTTTTTATTACATATTCTCTCTTTTTATTACATGTTTAGCATGGTATTTTCGGTTAACCATTATAAGACGTAATTAACACAAAACTCGACTATTTATTAGTTGAACTTAGACCAATTTGCTTAAACTTAAATGAGCTAAAAAGATCAATCGAATCTGTCTGGGAAGTAAATTTATCGATCGAATATTCGAAATAAACTTCTGGAACAACTTGAAGATCAACGTTCACAATTTGTCGAAGCGGTGAACGTAATCCTCGAGACAAATCCTCCGCCTTTAGGAATTAGTTGCGTTCTCAGGGCTATAGAGATTATTTGGCCAAGCATTTATTTAATGTTGGTTAGTAAAAGCTTTTGCAGAGCATTAAATTTTGATGTTAACGATGTTGGTGATGAAGGGAAGGGTTTTAGATTCTTTTTTTGGATACAACGTTGCCACCGAGTAACTTAAATTCTAGAGATTAGGGGAATAGTTTAAAATATATAAACTGTTGCTATTAAGGTTTATTTTGAAGGAAGCAGAATGTAGTTAATTAAAGATTTATTACGACCGCCCATTAGGTAAAATGTTCTTATCCAAATGGTTTTATTAAACTCGTCACTGCTAAATAAATTAAGTACCACGAGTTAAGTTATGCGCAGAAGATTGTTTTATCTCTAACGCTCAGGATTAAATTAAAAAAACTTTCTTAAAAAAAATACACAATGGTGAGGTTGCTAATTGTTTAGAAATGGTCGAATAACTCTTGAAATTATTATGTGAATTACACAACCGATTAATATTTCTCCAAGTAACCTACATCTACCGTAATGGGGTACATTGCACAAATCAAATTTTTAAATATACGACTTTTTTGAAATTTGATTTCTCAGGAACTATTCGACCGATTTCGCTCAATTTTTGCATTTTTCACTTAAAATTACATTAGTTAAAATGATGTCAATAACTGCACATCTTACTTTTCAAATTGTATTTAACTATAAGTATTGTTTTGTGTGCCTTCGACGTTTTTAAACCTTGTTCCTTTAGTATGTAGTTTGATTTTGGAGGTTGCGGCTGTGAATCATTCACCATGTGCAACTTAGGATAGAGTATACTGCGCTTTGAAGACCTAATCAAAAAACAACATAAATGAAACACAAATGAAAGTACATAAATGAACATACTATAATGTCAGTTCTATAAACAAGACCCTTCCTCAGTGTCTAGACATCAAATGATGGTAGATGATGGTTCTGTAACCAAATGATGGTTCTATTTCTTATCTCCCTTTTTATTTTCTTCCTCAAACTTGTTCCTCCGTCCCTATTGCTTAAACTACTTTCCACGTGTTTGTCTCTTTACTACCTGGACCGTCACTAAGTGTTTAGATTCTAAGGGAGGCTATTTCTTATAGAACTGAAACTATATTTTGCCCATTTATGTACTGTTTGTCTAAGATAGGTACTCTGACCGCCACTAAGTCTGCGGCAGTCTGGTGCTATGGAAACAAGAAGAGGGCATTTTAGAGAGGGTAGCTTCGATGAAGAGGTCTCCTTTTCTCTCGCCGAATCCAGTCCTAAAGAGGGACCCCGCACCCCTACTTAAAATAATCATACCTCGTTACCATAGTCACCGCCACAGCTCCAGACGAATGTCTGGCAGAGTACCTATCTTAGACAAACAATACTTTCACTTGCGTTTTATTCACGTTGTTTTTGCTTACATTCATCATACTTTTCCTATAAGTCTTTCACAGGTTTTTTTTTTAACAAACATTTAATAAAAGAGCAAGGTTGAAGACATTACGATGATTAGAATTGAAGAACACTCTGAAATACGACTTTAAAAGTTGTTTATGAAACTTACATTAGGTAGAGGTTGCAGACATGTATTGCATCAGATGGAGGTTACTTAAAAACATATTAAACGGGTATGTAATTTGCATAATATTATCAGGAGTTACGGAATCATACCAGGAAATGAACAATAGAAATTTTGGGGAAATATATAGGAGATCAAAAGGTATTGAGTCAAAAGGAAATACTACCTTTAAAGATAGGACATATTTTCCAAACACTTATTGGTCCCTGTCTGTGATACTGGCCCAATGCCAGTTCCATATAGAAAAGTGGCATTGCACCAAACACTAGCATCAGGAGGTACGGTATAAGAAAAACGCCTGTAAGGGAAGAAAAGAGAAAAAGTTTTAAAAAAATGCATTCCAAGCTTGTACTTGACACTTTCAACTCCACCCTACAAAACATCTTTCTGTAAATTTTTTACAGCTTTGCAACGAGCTTTGAACCGATTGTGATATTTCTCCCTTTTATAATTGTACCAGATATTTTTTTTATTATTTTGCTTTAATTTTGTACTTCCGGTACTTAAAATTACTTCAGTTTGGCGCAGTAATACTTTTTGTAGCAATAAAATCCTCATCCAATTCAATTCATTTTTGCAAATCTCTATTTTTTAACAGGAGAGGAAGGGATGCCCTGTGCCACCTGCTTTAGTCAAACGTTCTAAAGCGGGGAGGTAGTGAATTAAATTCTCTTCGTGTTGTTGCATATCTCCATTGCATAGACCTAAATCAGGTCTATGAAATCTGCCACTCCAAGAAAGTCTAATACTAGAATTGATTATGAAAAGATCCTGTCTGGAAAGCTCCAGATAATATAGTGATGATGAGGTGTGGCTTGATGGTCAACACACTTCACAAAGGTTGGTAGAACCGTTTACCCATTTGAATAAGACAGAGATCTCAAAAGTCCACTCAGAAGCCTGGTAATGGCTGTCTGATCCCGTCTACAAACCTTGAGTGATAAAGTACCTCAGGGCACTTTCCTTGGTACCATTGGTGAGCAGGTGGGATGGTACAAGAAGAATTTTCAGCTTTTTTAGCTCTTGAGAACAGCTCCAAATGAGTTAGGGAATCAGGTGTGTTCAACGGCTTACCATCACCCTATTTGGCCAAAATATACGCCGTCTCATTACTATAGTTTTATTTCTTTTGTTGACCCTGCATTTTCTTAGCACAGAGCCCCCACATCTCTTGTTAAGGGAAAGAACTTTGTAAAAATGAATTGAATAGGATGTGGAATATATTGGTACTGAGAATTTATTGGCTTACTGGGCCAAACACAAATGATTTTACGTACTCAAAGTACCAAAATAAAATAGAGAATTATATTAAAAAAAGTCCAACACAAAAATAAAAGGGAGAAATATCACTATCGAACTCAATTTTACCGAGAAGTTGTGAAAAAAAAGAATGAATAAAAGATATTTTTTTAGGGTGGGTTTAGTACAAATTAGATGGTCTTGTGCTGCTTTTCATGAATCTCGCAAAGGCTTAAAAATAAGTGAATACGTATTAATAAAGAATAAATGGTTACGAATTTATAACGTGGTATTTAGTCTGAATTGTTGCTATATGAAATTTTGATACATTCCTTAGATCAGTTGCAGAAATCTCTGAGTATCTGTATTAACCTGTGGTACCATAGAAAAATTTCGACAATTTAACTGCAGAGTGCGCGGTAAAATATTTGCATTCGAATTTTGCACTTGGTAGGTTCCCAAGCTTTAAAAAAGCAAAAATGTAGAATATTGTAATATTATACGTTACATTATGCATGATGAATTAACTAAACTATTAAAAGAAAGCACTTAACATTATTTTAATGAAATTAATTCGAGAATAAAGAAAACCCAACTTAAGAGGATAAAAGAAAACTTAACTGAGGTGAAAGATACAGGGGAGAATTTTTCTTCTTTTTTAAATGCTTGGTTTATTTTTGTCTGCCAGGTCAAAATAAATTCATGGAGGTCTCCGACAAGACATCAGACAAGACCTCAGTAACATCAGACTGAGCATACACATTGATTACAGCTCTTTGGTAGGACTTAAAAATCGAACTCAGAATCAATAGTTTCTAGCAAAAAGTGTGATTTTTGCTCCCACTGCATCAAATATCCCTACTTTTAACATTGCACCTTCTGAAATTGAAACTAGTTTACCAGTTTTAATGCAAATCCGGGGATTTTTGTTATTTATTTTAGGATAAAACACGAACAACTGAATTCAGGAGTGATTTAAGCAGTATTTCATGTCTGTAGAATATATAAATTAGCACAGTGTGAGCCTATCGGTAATAGCTTTCAAGTCAAACAAACTTAAGACATTTTGGAATTCCAATGAAAAAGAAGGAAAGTCATACATTGCTGGAATCATTTTATTTCCGTAATTCTCGTAAATGATTGACTTCACTCCTTCTTTATAACAACACAAAAGTCACCAGTTCGAAAGAAATAGAAAAAAAAGTAAGTATCTCATCAGTTCTTCCCCAATTGTTTAATTATTTTGTTCAATAAATTTGGTTCAATCATTTTTCAATTTTCTGATTGCATTTTCTTTTTTTAACTGCTATAAGTAACTTTAACTGCTATAATATATGCAAATATGCCACTTAATTTTGAACTCAGACGGCTGGTCGACTTCTGTCTTTGCTGTTGCAGTTCATTTAAGTCGCACTAGAGCTGCGCAATTGGCTATTAGCGATGGTCTGGGAAACATTCCTGAGAATAATCCGAAGACATGCCATCACAATTTTGATCCTCTGCAGAGGGGGTGTTTTCTGTCTTTGTAATCTTCTCCTAATTACAACACTATTAAATGAAGGGAGCCACTAGGAGATGGGAATAACATGGCTTTTTAATTAGCAACTTGCTGCATTTACTGACTGTAACTGTATTGGCTTAAAAATCGAACTCACCGTGGAAGTGTGAATATTCCTAATCCTACTACTCATAGTCGTTGTTTAATTAAAAATTGAGAAATTGAGCACTTTCACGTAGCACTTCGTGTGTAACATGCGCAGCTCAGTTATTAAGGCACAATTTTGATTCTCCACACAGTATACGTGAATGAGTGGGATGTAATATGAAAATGCTTAATCTCTCTAGTACGAACAAGCACTTACCGCCTCCATTTCTGTAGCAGAGGTAAGGAAATCGCCAGACATTGGCGAGGTCCACGGCAAAGCCGATAATCGAGAGGAGAAAATCGGCCTTTTTACTCCACGTTGGTCGATCATCGGTTTGAGTGGATCGATGATCATCTTCTGATGAGTGGTCACCCTGAAGCGTCGTGCAAGCTGCGGCGGCTCCATCGCTCAGCAGCTCACAGGTCACCTTCTCCGGAGCCGTGGTGCTCAGCTGCCCTAAAAAAAAGAAGAAAAAATTATTTATTAATGACCATTGTAGCTCTGGGGACGGAACACTTGCCTCCAGTTGAGGTAAACCGGGTTCGCATCCCAGTGATGGCTAGGATGCAAATTTCGCACTCTTTTCACATCGGCCACAGTGCTGAAGTAAGTCATCTTCAGGGGTAGACGGATCATGGGTTAAAGTCTCATTGCCGTTAGGCTAACCATGGGAGGTTTTCGTGATTTTTCTCTCCATGCAAATGTGGGTTAGTTCCATCAAAGAATCCTCCACGAAGGCAAATTTCTCTCATTAAATTTATCCAGGAGTTTCCTTGTAATCGGGATTGAATTCAAAACTACAAGGCTACGGAGTTAAAAAATTGGTAGTCGTAAACAAAAAAATTGGATCATCTGTTCAATGACGGTTATAAAATAGAATAATAGTCATTGTCAAATCAAATATAGCCATTATCAAGTCATTAGCCATTATCAAGTGAAGTATATATTCTCGTGTAATACAATACATAAGCATTGCACGAGCTTGAAAGGAAATATCTAGCGAGACACTGAAAAACCTTACAATTTTTGAATTTAAAAACATTTGTTGGCTGTCTGTATGTCTTGAAAGTTAATTAAAATTCCGACTTTTTATTAATTTCAATAGTTTTTTGCAATGGTCAAGCTAAAAAGATCATTTGTATTTTTTTTTATATTTAAAGTCTTTAATATTTTCTAGTTTATCCTGAATTATTTAGGCCAATTTCATTACCACTTATATGCCTTTAAAATATTTACATAAAATCTTCACTTCTCTGGAAGTCCTTGAAACTGAAAAATTGATTTTATACCTCCAATTTTCGACCTATTTTTATATTTTTAATTATTCAATATTTTTAGACTTATATTTTTAAATATTTTTGCTCACTTACCTGTGTTTTAAAAAATGGCAAATGACATTTTTTCTTCAGTTCAAATAAGATTTACTATTGTTTCCTTTGGTTAAACAAGATTTTTTTTTTACAATATTGAAATTATGATAAGTGAGAAAGTTGCTCTACACCTTACCTATTTTTAGTATTTTTTTTAATAAACTACAGCTCTTTCGAAAAATATGCCGATATGAATCATTGGTCAGATCTAGTTCCCCTCTTTTTTTCGAAACAGGAACACATTTCATTCAACTAGAACAATCTTATTCAAATCAATTGGTTTAACCATAGATTTGGATCAAGTTAGAACCACATAAATCCTTGATGCTGAGATAGCATACAAGGGCTAAAACTAAAAGTTAAATTGAATCAATGGACAATGCTCTGTTGGTAAAAAATGTATGGTAAAAAATTTTTGAGTTTGGTGAAATAAATTTTAAGTTCCAATAATCAATTTCCTCAAAACTAAGCTAATCATCATTGGAAATACAATAACGTTTTCAATTATCAATAGATTTAATTTAAAATGAACAGAATGTACGCTAGTTTTGAGTTAAATCTGTTGAAAATTAACGCATTAAGTTTTTCTTGAGAAATTTTTGATCAACAATTCAAATCAAATTTTCACAACTTTTGCTTAATCAATTAATAATAGACTTTAAAATAAATCAAAACTGCGTATTTATCATTTACCAAAAATACCCGGTGTATAAGTCGACCCCTTTATTTTTGATTGCGTAACAGCAAATTTCTAGTACGTTGCAGTGGCGTACGCAAGGGAGGGGTTTAGGGGTTTAAACACCCCCCTTGAGCTTAGACAAAATGGCAAAACTAAAAATTTTAGTAGAAATTATGCGAGCTATTATTTTTTAAGACTATATATTTTTATGTGCCTTATGCCTACTTTTTTTTCTCATGGTATTTCTCAGAATACAGAAAAAACATTTACTATAATAGGGTTGTACTTTTGAAACCAAAATCACGTGATATATATATATTTGCTGTTCTTGGATCTTTAGGATGTCAAAAAGCTAGAATTTAACAATTTTTAATTACTTTGAGAGAAAATCACGACCTGAACTTAGTGAGGTGACAGCATCTAATACCAATGTAAGTTTTTCTGTTGTACAGAAATGTGATACTTCCGTTGAAGAAAACGTTTCTAGCATAACAAAATCTGATGAATGTGAAAGTGGCCCTCAAAGTGTTAC